TTAAATGACGGGTTTCGGAATTCGGCTCCATCCTCGGTTAACACGTGAAATCCCAAGTTTTGCCGAGTTTATCTTCATGACTTGCTGGAGCAAATTTGTCAATTTGTCATCTGGAACTTCATATTCCACCATCGCGTCGCTACAAGCATCAACGCCACCACTGTCCTGCAAAAATGGGGGCTTCCATAGTAAACTGGGTTTTTTTACCAGAGGGTATCCAGATTTTATGGGGATATATTTGGGATTATATGGGTATGGGTCAAAATTAGGTACCCCAATAATTGGATGGTTAATACTAAACTAGACTAACATCTGTGGTCCCCTAGGTCTTCCATTTTGACCCACATCCATATATTCTCCTGTAAACTAGCAGTTCTGGAAAAGCCGCCATTTGTAGATCATTTTCGAAACGGAAAATCATGGGGCTTTCCACATCTTCTTGGGATGTTTACCCTATACATCATGTGATCGGTGTTCAAAAATATCGATGGATGATGGGGGGTTAGACATGGTTATACTATATTATTGTTATTCTTCCCATTTTTATCCATTTATCACCCATTTATCATCCATTTATCCATTTTTTTGGCCATAACTGAGTCATTTTACCCATTGGAACAGGTGGAAAAACCATCTGCTGAGGACGAGGTGCCAGCTGAGGACCTCCGCGGTCTCATGCAGCGAAGTTATAAGGCGAACGGCTTCCGGCGCTTCAGGGGGCGTTCCGGTTGTTTTAAAATCTCCCACCATCGTTGAATCCTCTGAAAGAGGTTTTTTTTTCTTGGAACATCATATGATCAATGGGGATTTCAGGATCCTAAAATGGAGGTACCATTTTCCTTATATATGGTAGGTACCTCCAACTTAGGATCCTGAAATGGCCATTGATATGAACATTTTTATGACACCAATTGACATCACTTTTTTATTTTGCTTTGAAGAACATGGGATATGAGGATATGAGGATGGATGGATCAAGTTGCCGACATAGATTTTTGGGCTGAACATGCATTTACCAGGTATTTTGCTGGTGAACACAAGGGTGCTCGGTTTTTGGCCCATGACCATTTTTTGCAACCGAAGATGCAACCGATGCAAAAATTAGATTTTAAGATGGATTAACTTTTACAGAGCATCTGGGTAACCATCGAAAATAGATGATCAGATGGAGATTTCACCCTGAAAGCTAGGATTTAAGGACTCAATTTGACGAAATTTGAGATGTTTTTGGCACAATTTGCCAACCAGTTTCTGCGGTTAAGTTTAACGTGGATTTTGTGGGGTCATAACGGTCATAACGGTCGACATCGCTACAGATGCCCAAGGACCTCACTGAGACAAGGTGAGGCCCAGTGGGGCCCAGTTCGAAGTTGGTTAAAAAAAACCTATCAACTAATATCAAATATAGTTATACCATAGTTATACCCTAGTTATACCCTAGTTTACCAAGTCAACTTGAGGCTGTCTAGCCTCAGCTAGTTTCAGGTTGATGTCGTTTTGGTGTAATTGAGCCACTTCTGTTTGGTCCAGATGGACTGGTACCACTGGGAGTGGCATGATACCACTGAAATTCAGGGGCAGATTCAGCAGGAAAAGGTGAGATTTGAACGCCCAAGATTTCTCGCTAGTAACCAAGAGGAATATCATGGAATATCAATATGTTTCTACAGTGTACACATTATGGTTAATAAGGGAAATCATCCCCAAATGGCCTTAATTCAGGTTAGTGAAATATTATAATTTACCCAGACTGGTTGGTGCTTTGGAACATGAATTTTATTTTTCCATATATTAGGGAATGTCATCATCCCAACTGACGGAGTCATATTTTTCAGAAGGGTAGGCTCAACCACCAACCAGCAGATATATATATATATGTGCTACAATGCATTCGGGTTCATACTGAAATCATCTTCAAGAATCCATGCGGTGGTTAGCCGCCTCCCAAAAGAGCGGCTCCATTGAGTGGCTCATTTCTGGCGCATTGTTTAGAGGCCCATCCATTGAAACTATGATTTAATTATATCCCGACTTATATTCATATTGTAATATACCCTCTGGTAAATTAACTTGTCGACCCTGGCAGTCATCGGGCTTGGAAGATTAGGTTCCATTAAAACTAGGCGATTTTCAGGGTCAAACAGTTAATTTACCAGAGGGTAAATCCCATAAACAAAAATCCCAGTGACTTCCCCAATCAATGGGAGATCTCCAGGATCCTAAAATGGAGGTACGTTCGTACCATATTTTTGGCCATATGAATTGTGGGGATATTCCCAATAGTTATAAGTACCAAAAACCATAGTTATTGGAGTTATAAACCAACTTAGATATCTTGGGGGCCTCACATTGTATACATATCCCATGATATCCCCACTCCTTCTTCACTCCAAAAACCGTCGCCGGACCGTCGTTTCCCGCAGACTTTTGATCACGATGAGGTGGTACCCAGCATCAAGGCCAGTGGGGCCAGTGAAAATCCTGATTGTTTTTGTCATCGAAGTGAATGGTGGGTAAATCATTGAAGATCCTCTATACCCTCTGGTAAACATACAAAAAGCTATTGAAAATTGCCATTGAAATAGTGGATTTTCTCATTAAACATGGTGATTTTCCATAGTTATGTTAGTTCACCAGAGGGTAAATGGAGGTATATAGCCGGGTAAATCATCGAACTGAGGCCATCTAAACTATGGCTAACTGTTTACTGAAGGGCATCGGAAGCAGATTTACTTGGGTTTCGTAACTGAGGATGTTGGGAAACCATGCAAGTTCCCAGCTTTTTGAACATTCATTTTCCCTATGAAAATTGCTATAGACTTGGGGGTGTATCCCATTTCAGACATGTCCACTTAATGGCCTGACGAAAGTTTCAATCCCTCAGATTGGTCACTGCCATTTTCCGCTTCAGGATGAGTCAAGCTGACTTTCACGAAAAAAGAGTGGGATTTTAATTGCTATTTTTTTCGGGGTTGCCATGTATCTATCGATCGATTTATCTATCTCATTAATCCACTCTAATCTAATCAAATCTAATCTAATCCAGTCTAGTCTACTCTAAATCTAATCAACTGATCTAATCTTATCCAATCTGAAATATGATGTGATCTAAATCTATATAATCTAATCTCATCTGATGTAATCTGATCTAATCTAAATCTATATAATCGAATTCAATCTGATCTAATCTAAATCTATAGCATCTAATCTAATCAACTGGTCTAATCTTATCCAATCTGATGTGAGCTAAATCTATACAATCTAATCTAATCTGATCTAATCTAATCTGATCTAGTCTGATGTAAACTTATCCAATCTGATGTGATCTTATCGTATCTTACCCTCTGGTAAACAAACAGTTTGCTATTGACAATGGCCATTGAATGGCGATTTTCCACAGTTTTTTTGTATGTTTACCAGAGGGTATTTCCCCATCATCAATCACTATTAACCATTACTAACCACTATTGATCACTATTGATCACTATCATTAATAACACCTATTGACAATAACCAGATATATCTATCATTATATCATTAATAACTAGATATACCGTTAACCATTACTATCGTATAACCATTATTAACCATTATTAACCATTATTATACCAGTACTAACCATTATTATACCATTATTATACCATTAATCATTAATAACCATTATTAACCAGAGGGTATCTATTCTATGGTTCTATCGATAACATCTCCGTTCGTTCGCCACGGCCGAGGTGAACGACCTGTGGGTCATGGAACTCTTCCACGGCCCAACCTTCGCCTTCAAGGACGTGGCCCTTCAGGCGATTTGGTGCCGTATATAAAGCTATATTAGTAAAGTATATGATACATGTATACACTATGAATTAATGATGGATATATATATATATATTTTCTGTATGTATATATATATATATTATATACACAATAAATGGATACAGTGTACAGTATGTATGTATGTATGTATGTATATATATATATATACACAATTGAATACTGTATGAGTGCTGCATGCATTTTTTCATTCCCTGCATGGAGTTGGTGAGATTCCAAGCATGAAGACCTTCGGACATGGCGGACATGGTGTCCAACATTGTGCAATATATTTGTAGGCCATGAATGGGAGTGTATGGAACTTTTAAAAGCAACACTATGATATAATTAGCCTCTGGTAAACGTTTACATAGCTGTAGAAAATCACCATGTTTAATGGGTAAATCAACTATTTCTATGGGCCATTTTCAATAGCTACGTTAAATTACCAGAGGGTATAGGTGTTTTTCCAGATTCCCACATCTCAAGGTTTCCAACTTGTCTACATGTTTGGGCGAAGGTCCAACACCCGGCGTGTTGGATGGTTGGATGGTCGTCTGCGATTTTTGATCCACGAAACGGCGGTTGAGGGCGTCCATATTCACACGAGCACACGGAAGGCACAGTGTTATGGATTACATAACTAGAGTTTATGGAGGTTATATCTATAGTTTATACCAAATGTGACTTTTGAAATGAGCTATGGAAAATTGGGTACCCTCTGGTAATTGAACATAGCGAACTGGAAAATCACCATGGTCAATAGGCAAATCATCTAGAATGGGCCATTTACCATAGCTGTGTTAAATTACCAGAGGGTATTATCTTTTGTTGGACATGCTCATCATGTCGTTTTTTTTCCAACAAAACGACGGCTAGGTTTGGCTGATGACCGCGTGCCCATTTGGATCAGAGGGTAGCACATCACTCATGAATCATCAGGAATCATCATAAAATCATCCATTTATAGATGGATTTTCCATTATGAACCATCCATTTGGGGGTACCCCCGTTCAGGAATCTAGTTGATTCTCAAGGCCATCAAGGCCAGCATCGCCACAGATGATCCCATTCCAGGCCCAACTTGACCCGTAGCCACCTTCAGCCAGCTCGATCAGCCTGCCCTATATGTCGAATCGCGTGGGGGTGGGTCGAAACGACCAGTGATACTCACAGATGACATGGTGATTTTAGGGAAACCCATCACGTTTGGCTTGTCATGGAGAAGAACAATGACGTCATCCGTCAGGCGCGCACTGCAAAGTTGGGGAATCGGACCGGGCTCTGCTGGGATTTCACAAGCAGAAAATAGCAGAAATCTGGATTTAAGATCAAAGAATGTGGAATTTAGCTTGCAACCATTGGATTTTTCAGGCAAGGGTCTCTCTGTCCCCTTACCATGAACCAATAGTAAAGACTGTTTTCAGATGACGGACTCCACATTCGCGATATGGGTGTTCTATCCCGCGTTTTGCTAGTGGACTTACCCTCTGGTAAACGTTTACATAACTATGGAAAATCACCATTTTCAATGGGAAAACTCCCTATAAATGGTCATTTTCAATAGCTACGTTAAATTACCAGAGGGTGACCTAGGAAAACCAAGTATCATGAAGCACCAGTTACCCACAGTCGTGGCTCAAAATGACCCCAAACAGGGAAAGTCTACAGGACACCCCCTTTTTCAGGGGCAAATGCCTGGCTTTCGAACCAATTTTTTTGATTAGTCTTCATCATTTCTTCTGATGAATTTTCCCATTATAATTTTTCAATATTCATCCAACTATATACTATATATATATACACATAGATATCTACTCCAATTAAAGTTGAAGTTTTCATTATAATTGATTGACATGTCCAGTTGATCCACAATATTCCTACCCATCAACCCAGAATTGTAATGTCTACACTGTATCTACACTCACAATCCCATCTTTTGTTGTAATAATAACCCGTTGCTTGAATTCATATAACTTTTGCCTATCCCCATAATATTTACCATGAATGACACTCTGAATTACCATCGATTAACCACTTAGTTGCGGGTCAGCCCCCATGAAAACCAACCCAATTTTTTTGATGAGACAGTTCTCCTTGCGCCACAAGGCAGGAAAGTTCTTGTATCTCGGTTTTCCGAGGAGTGATGACGTGCTGGGCGTTTTTTCATAGGGTCATAGGGGAAAGAACTTCTGGAGATTTCACCGGAGAATTCTGGGGATTTCAACACTGAGGATTGAACATGGTGATTTAATGGTGATTTCATGGTGATTTAACGGTGATTTATGGTGGTTTAATGTTAATCTAATGGGAATTAATGGGATTTAATGGGATTTAATGGGATCAAACCATTGAACATCAGATTTCTCCATGTCAACAAAAAAAGACATGAGAAGAAGTTTTTTTTCATGCACAATTGGACAGGGGGAATTTTGCCAAGAAATGGGCAGATACAACAAGACACACCGAGTTTTCCACCAAGCGGTGAACATGGGAGTGAGCCGGTGGTATGAGTCCCATTCCTAGCCATTTTTTGGAGCCAATGACTTGACCGCTACCGGTGAAATCCTGATGAAATTTGCGAGTCTGAGGCATGCTCCCTCCATGCAGTTGTCCCAGTATCTCTTCTCTCGCAAGGCTCAGGGAATGTTCTTTTGCGGTGCGGTGCCAACATGGCTAAGAGGTCCCATTTATGGGCATCTATAGTGGAAGAATCATCGAACTCATGCGGGATTTTCCAGGAAGCCATGTCGGAGGGCACCAGAGTGTAGTCCGAACAAGTCCTGAAGAAGTCCTGAAGAATCGCCTGCCAACACTCCGGTGAGTTAAATCAACCACAACGCTGATTTGATCCAGCCCACCCAACATATTATGCAAGAGCAACAAGAATGGTGATTTGATTTTCAAAATGACGACGACTTTTGCCAACAATACTGGAGATATTATGGGCTTACCCATTTGGATCATAGCCAATCAGAGACAAGAGACGTGGCCGATGGCATCAATGAATCCAAAGTCACAAACAGTGGATTGGTGAAAGGGAAAATCTACCGGAACCATGGATTCTCCCCTATGAAATATCGGGAATTTCCGAGGCAGCCGGTTAGGTGCCTTCCAACATCAACCTTATTGACACCCCCAAGACAGCGATGATGACTGGTGGGCAATGCTATCTTTGATCAAACATGGCTGGGAAACTTTCTCGAAATGGACGAATTTTTTTCTGGAGAAGAAATCGACTGGAGATTTTCGAGCTATATTTGATGGCTGGAAGCCTCTGCAGTTACATCGTATTCCTGTAGTTCGTTGATGTTCACACATCCACCTGCAGATCTGCGGCATAAATCTATGTAAATCCTACACTTCGCCCAGTTTTAGAGCAATAGACACCGATGATACATCCGAAAAACAAGGAAAATCAAGGGAAAACACAGATTTTCTTGGTGTTGAAATCAGCGAAGCCCCAACTTTGAGTAATTTGGTGACCTCCGCATCTTGTCTCAGGGAGGCCACAACTTCCTGGAAAGGGCCTGGGAGCCTAAGAGAAATGGGCTCTTAACGTATTCACAGTACGGAATTTCAAGGGTCTATAATATATATATGTAATATATACATACATACATACATACATACATACATACATACATACATACATACATACATACATAATATGTATATATATATATATACACATATATAATATGTATATATATAATATACAGTATATATATATATATACACAATATGTATATGTATACGTAAGGATATTCTGATGTATACAATGTCCATTTGTATATATATATATATAAATACACATGAACATATGCTGTTAGTTGAGAAATACAATTTCTGTGGTGATTCATAGCGAATTTAAGCTATTTGACTCTCCGACTGCCCTTGCTCGGGCGGAGGTTGTCCACCATGGTAAACTTGATGATGGTTTTCGGCCGTTGACCATTGGGGCTGTATCATTTTAGCAAACACATCACTGTTTTGGGGCTAACCCTCCGATTTTTCATCAACTATGGTTTATTTATCCGGGGTTGAAATTAGAAACATTTACCCTCTGGTAAACTACCATAGCGAACTGGAAAATCACCATCTTCAAGTTCGGTAAATCAACTATTTCTATGGGCCATGTTCAAGTTCGCAAACTGTTAGTCATCACCAGAGGATAAATCCCATTAAACCACCATTAAAATCACCATTAAATCCATGAAAAATCACCAGAGGCTACCGAACCACAGGAACCACAGGAACCACAGCAGGATCTCTGCGTGTCGTCTCCGCTGTGAGGTGAAGCCTTCCAAAGACCCCGCGAAGCGGAACCGTCTCTCGGTCGCGGAAGCGTCCAACTAGCTGGACATCGCCATGGCCATGTAGAAAGAGGAGATACCCATTCCATTTGTGATTTCAGCATAGAAAATGGCTTGATTTAATGGGATTTAATGCTATATATATATATATACATATATATATATATACATATATATATACATATATATATACACATATATATATATATCGAATCCGGGATCCATTCATTTATAAAAATGTATTTAAGTCTTGGGCAAAGAAAAAGTGATACTTTTTTCAGCGACCAGGAAAGATGGGGAATGGTGTGGTTGAGCACTGAACCACCTCACAAGATGATCTCGGAGTCTTTGAGATTCGGAAAGAATGTTGGCGATCAGGAATGATTGGGATACTAAGAGATACCCGGCCTGGTAAACATACAAAAAAAACTATGGAAAATCATCATGCTGGTAATGGGTAAATCAACTATAAATGGGTATGACTAAATGTTTTTGGAAAAAACCAGGTCAGAACACAGTCCTGTGCTACAAATTAGTATCTACAATTACTACATGAATCAGTGAATCAACCACCGAACTCCCCAACATCCACTCTTCAGGGAGACCCCACCAAGGACAGAGCACAGAGAGGCGCCGGACCGATGGCTACCTTGAACTACACCATGGCGGCCTTGGACCTCCGAAACCCTATGGATTGTCAAGATTCATCAACGATATTTTCCATTGGATATTCATGAAAAATCGTATTGCGACACCCCCCCCATTCACCAAGTGATAAGTTGGTTTCTAAGTCTATGACATAACTCCTAGTCGGCCTACTTCTGGACCACCTTACCTATCTCAGGGGCCCATTTGGATATCCATTTGGTGCATTTCCTTAGCGGAGCCGTTTCACGTTTCGCCAAAACGCCAGGGTGCGTTCATCTTCCTTTGGGCTCCTGCGCCCAAGTCGAGTGGAGGGGACCATCCCCTGGCACTGGTAGAGAAATGCACGAAAAATGGAGGTTTCTTAATAGTTTTGGGCACCCCAAACCATAGTTTTTTCATTTTTTTCCGTTGATAAAAATGGAACTTTTTCCGAATGATTTTGGGGTAGCCCAATTTTAGGAAACCTTCAAATATCTATGTACTAATCACTGGAAGTTTCCTAAATGAAAGACCCTTCAGGCGCTTCACCCAGCAGCATGGCAGTCCTTTTCCCATTGTGAATGGTTGGTTAATGTGGGGCTACCTAGTTATACCCCGTAGCTCACAGGTTTTGGACTTGCTAAGCAACCAGATTTATGGACCAGCCTCCAAGTACATCCAACATATTTCACAAGCTGATTGGCTGTACAGTGCTAAGTCAGCTAAGTGATGGCCAAGTGTGAAAAAAGTCGACCCCGGAAAATGAAAAACCCTGCTTGATTGATTAGGGGGGCAACCCCCCAATTTTTTTGTGTGATCTACAGTGAGAATCTGCTACTCCAATGGTACCTCCAATTATTCCCAGCCAAGGGGGTTATCCAGGATTGGCACTGTCACCCAAGGATTTATCCAACTTTGGTCTGCTCAGGCTAGTTCTTTGAGCAAAGCTTTGGAAGGTGAATCTCTTTCATTTTTACATAGCCTTCCCGTTTGCTCAAACGTGGCCGGCTGGAAAATCCATCATTCAGTTCGATGATTTTCCCAGCTAGACACCTCTATTCATAGGGGATTTCCATGGGATTTTCCAGCCGGCCACCTTTGATTGTACCGGATGGTCTTTTTAGACACTTTCCCACGATATGTTTTCTCCACGAGTTGGATGAAGGGGACACTTTTGGACCCTCCAAAAACATCCGTTGGTGACGAAGGATCGCTTAGGTGTTTCTTAAATCAGTCCATGGATGGTTTGAGTACATAGTAATTCCACACTATGTCTCAGGACATCGATCTATACATCGATCTATAGATCTATGATGATTCCACTATATAAATTTATAACATATAAATCATATCATAGAACTATATGAAATATGATAATTCCACAACACATAGTTCTATAGATATTCATTTCTTTTGTTTCAGGACATAGACCAGCACCGAACGCTAAGGGTGGACACGGAGAACGAGGCTGCAGGAGGAGGCGCGATGGAAAAGTTGGGCTTGAAGCTAGGCGATTACAGCAACATGCTTTGAACAGCAAATACCTGGATTATCCTGGATTCAGTGGTGATTTTATTGAATCGGACTGGGGATTTATCGATTTATCCATTGATTTATCCATCGATTTATCATGGGGAGAAAGGCCAACGTGTTGGCACGACTCGACCTGCCGTTGAAAACGATGTTGGGTCCGGCAGTTTGCTATGGAAAATGGCCATATGGGTATGGGTCAATACCTATAGGTACATTTTTAGTGGGATGAACATCCATTTACCAGCTATTTTGGGGTTCACTAGGTACCAGGGTTTTGACCCATCCCCATATTAATGGCCCATTTACTTTGATGATTTAGCGACAAATCAGCCATGACTGATCCTCGAGCGGGCAAATCAGCCCCCGTGCTAACCTTCATAATCCATTGCAAAATACGGGTTGCGTGTCAACCTGAAATCTATTTCTACTGGGCTCTATTGGGCGGTTTTAGCTAACGTGGTCAGCAACATCGCAATTCCCTTTTTTGGGCTTTGGTCAAAGAAATAATGGTTGAGGCTCTACCTTTGGAGCTGGTTAACCCGCCCAGGCTTGGCAGTAGGTGTTATGTAGTGAGGTAGTGCATCCAGATATGTGGCAAATTCCCATGGTTAGTGATAGCCCATCGACTTAGAAGAACTTGCAGGTACATATGGCATAATATTTTTATTATTTTCATAGCACTATTAAGCTGGGTTTCAACCTTGGATGGCTGTTTTACCCGAAGATAACTCGCCGGCCCAGGCTGACGATATGGCCGTTATTTGTTTTTCGTATCACGATATTTTCTGGCCACAAAAAGTGGCCTAACATGATAATCATATCTTGTACAGTATACAGTATACATGACCATTGAAAGTTGGTGTATCTTTGACCTTGTTTTGGCCATGTTTTGGCCATATTTTCAGTTAGTTTGCCCCGGGGCATCCAAGATCATCAACTACAAACTACCAATGAGTTTTCTGCCAATCATACCTGGGGCGTATTTTCTTCGATTACTAACTAGACGTCTCAAAAAAAATATCATGATATATCATGTCTAACAATAAAATTCTAGTTTGATCCTGTATCCCAGATAGCCTCTGGTTATTTAACATAGCTATTGAAAATGGCACATTTATAGTCGATTTACCTATTTAAGATGGTGATTTTCCATAGCAAACTGTAAACGTTTACCAGAGGGTAGCTTGTCTGAGATAATATCCCAATTAAACCCTTGGCATCATCGAACGTGGCCGGGCAATGCCCATGGATCGTTCGATGATTTTCCAAACGCCACGTTTGATTGCCAGATGGTTAAGATGTCAAGTTGGTGATTGGAAACGCTTACAGAACATCAACGAACATATTCCTGACAAATATTCCATTATTATGTCCTAACAAAATCTCCAATGGTTAAGATATCTATTGCATTTCCAATGTATCCCAAGACATTTCTCATCGTTGGATCATCTCTGAGATATCGGGAACCGAGAATCCGAAACGGTGCTGTCAGGCTCGGGGAACTCGCCAAGGTGCGCACGCGAAGGGGGTGGAGATGACTTGGGGGTGCTGACTGGGATTTTTTCTGGGACTTTTATTGGGGATTTTTATTGATTTGTAGTTGGGTTTGACTGGGAACACATGGTGATTTACCCTCTGGTTGTTTAACATAGTCATGGAAAATCACCATGCTATTAATAGGTAAACCATCTATTTCTATGGGCCATTTTCCATGGCTATGTTAAATAACCAAAGGGTAATGGGATTTGGCTGGGAACACATGGGTTTTTTCATGGGATTTCATGATCAGATGGATTGCATACGCAGACGTTTGGGGATGATCAATCCATTAGTAGGGATTTATATCATTTATAATTTAGCGATTAATGTCAACCCTGGATTTAATAAACCCCAAACGATTGCTTAATTGGGAGGGTACCATAAACAAGTATTAGATGAAATGATCATTGGAGGAGTACCCCCCTAATTTTCATAAACCATGGTTTAGCAAAATCCGGGGTAGACATTATACATAATTATACATAATACCCTAATATTTAGGGATTATATGGGATTATCATAGCAATATTTTAGGATTGATATGCACTTTTTTTTTGGATTTCCAGTATGGCATGGGTGACCAATCAACCACAGGGGGATGATGGGAGATCAATTGATGACGGGATCTGGTGGGATTTATGGATGTTCATCACCCACACAAATACCTATATATATAATATCGTATATATATATATATATGTATGTGTATATATATACATATATTTACAGTGTGTACGTATATACATGCACATATGATATGCATGTTTTTTTCTAGATTTTGATCCATCCACGTGAACTTATTGACTGTGGTGTAGCCAAATAGAGCTTGTTTGGCTAGGCTGGTGGACCTAAATATGGTTGGATTATATCTAGGTATGCATGTTGTGACATTTGAATCATTTTGAATATCTGGTTAAGTTAATATCCATATCATTATTGCATATCTAGGTGAGAGAAAACCCCTTAGTCACATCTTAACTTGATATGCCGTGCCTGCTGTGCCTTATTCTCCGCTGTGCCCCACCTTTGATTCTTACCTGCCATGGCGATCAGGCAATCGAAGTCGGGCTCTCGAAACTTGGTTTTTTCTGCTTGGTGCTTGGAGATGGGTTGATTTTGGAGTTTTTTTGAACGTTACCATGTTACCATGTGGTCATTTAACACAACTTGCTATATTTTGCCACTAGTTCGTTGATTTACCCTCTTTGAAACTGGTGATTCTCCAATTCGCAGAAAAATCACCCAGGCCTTGAATTCACCTTGGCCAACCATCTGGTTGACTTTGATGCACACGAAAAACTTTGTCCAAAAATCGGGTGCAGCAAAATCCAGTGGTTTCTTTCTGGGTTTCTCATCATTTTTCCTATGAATGTTGTTATTTCTAAGGAATGGTCAAAGTCTAAAAAATGGGCATGCTATTTCGCCAATTCAAAAGGAATCCCACAGCCATTCTCATTTCACTACAGATATACTCGATCAGGCAGCCTATGGGGCAGTGTGGCATCAGAGTCAGGAATAGAACTGGGTGTGTCTGAGAATAGAGAAAACCCCTAAACCCAATGGTTTTGCTGATCATTATCCCTATTAAATGGCTATTTCATTGGGAATATACCCTATTTTCAGACAAACCCAACTATTGTAGTTTATTCTACAGGTCGTTCCTTGGAACATCACGACTCACTTATCACTTACTGCAAGAGGTCCAACTGACAGGTCGCTCATCCATCGGAGTCCATCACCCACATGACTCACAGAAATTTCCCCCAAAATTGGGGCCCCATGACCCTTGAAAAAAAGGACGCACAAAGGACGGCAATTTGGGAGGGCCCCCATCTTCAGACACAGAAAAGTGTTTTGCTTTTTACAATAACACATGATAAACATTGATAAACCATATTATAGATGTGTTGTCTCTTGACTTGACGAGCAAGAAATGGGGCTTGACCTTCATGAAATGGGTCAATGCCTACTGGACAATTTTCAGCCCCCACATCTTCTTGATTAAATCCGAAGGTGTTTTCTTCGCGTTTGATGCGAACATCCCTATCCCTCATATTATTGACATTTAAGCATTCAGATTTTGAAGTCTCCGTTCTTTGCTGGATCACTATCACTATCCTTGCCAGTTCAATCCAATAGCTCTTTTTCTTCCCAATCTTTGCCAAAGAAGTGCTGTTTCCATCTGTTTCCGTTCTTAGGAGCTGCCTCCCGCAATGGAAGTTTGGAGCTGGACAACTCGGAGTTCCTCGACTCCTCGAGCCACAAAAGATATTCAAAGATATTGAAAATAGGTAATGTGATAAATGCAGTAACATAAACTATACCCTCTCGTTATTTAACATAGCCATGGAAAATGGCCCATTTATAGATGGTTTACCTATTAAAAATGGTGATTTTCCATGGCTATGTTAAATAACCAGATGGTACCTCAATTGGGGTTTATGGGTATATCATAGGGTACCCTGTTTGGAATGATGTAAAATGACCACCCGTTAAATGGGCATGAAATGCCATCAACGCGCAGATGTTTTGAGGGGCCCCCAGGATTCCTGCAGCAAACCCTAAGGTGATGGGCACCTTAAAAAACTTGAAGTGTTTGGAATGTATTGTTAAAAACAGTTGTGCTGTGTATAATGTGTATATTTTTAGCTGCTTAAAAAACTGAAGGTATTTTTACTTGGGATTTGCTTAAACTTAACCAGCTAAAAATCATATTGTTGTTGCTGTGTATCCAAGATTGGGCATATAAAAGTGACTCCCTGCAAAAAAACAAGATGGGACCATGAAACTGTTGATTGACCACCACCATAGATCCAATTTGTTGTTGACATTTTTATGTTTATGGTGTTTCACTTTTTCTATCACTTCTGGGATCTCTATGCGGTATGTATGGTATAACTGTAAAACTTCTTCAGCCGCGAAGGACATTTTTCAGTCTGTCATAAATTGGCCAAGACTCCCATGGTTGGTGACTGCCCTGCCACTGTTTGGGTCGATTTTCTTCTGGGCAATGGATGCTCATCACCCATTTGTTAAAATCGAGGTCAGGTCATTAAGAAAATACCCATCAAGGGCTACCACCATTGCAAGCCAGAGGAATAGCCATGGAATAGCATTAGAGGAGATGTTTTCATTCTTAAGACACAAAACTTGAGTCTTCTCCTACACGAAAACGCCCTTTTTTTCCATGTGAGCAGTGCTCAAAACTCCTGGGGATGATACCACCATCTGGTTATGACTCACCAAGGCCGGCCATGGAACATCCCCCAAAATCAAGGGAGGTTTCGTTCGCTGGGAAAAACCACCCTTTTCCATGGCGATGGTCACATAACCCAACGGGTACCCTCGATGTATTGGGGATGATTTTTTGGGAAATCTCGGTCCTTTCCAACGTTGTTCCGCTGAGGATACAAGAGCACCGAACCAGATGGACACACGGGATTTCAGGACAGCGGTCCATTGAGCGGTCCGTTGTACCCGTCCTTTCCTTAAAATGGTGCCCAGAATTTGCTACACCCAAACATCGCCCCTGGGGATGTTTGGAAAGAACAAAGTAACGCTGTTTGCCAGTCGTGCGCCCAACGTTTGCACTGGCAACATCGACCTGCTCACAGTTGTGAGTGATTCATTCGCATCAATTATGGCAATTGGGAATGGCTTAATTTGTGGGGCAAATATACTTGTATGGGAATTTCTGAAAATCATGTTGGTAAATTACATCATCTGGATATACTGTAATAAATGGGCTAACACTCATTTATTGGTCCAACTCTGCATGTTTGCGGAGCGAACGGTGCTCATAATCTGAAGCAGATTTGGGGTCGGAAAGGCTCTTTAGTCAGGGGTGCAGAAAAGTCCCTGGTATCCCAGCTGTTGGCCGAAGATTTCGGCCAGCTAAGCTTAAAGAATATTCCTGGGTCGTTCACCAAAACCAGCCCTACCCCCCCGGGCTTGGATCGTGACGAGTCCGATAAAAATTGTCGATGTATACCTCGTATCTCGGTACAGTCAAGATCAAAAAAAACACCCTTGAATATACACTGGAGTTTTATGTCGATTCGACTATTATTCAATATGTTGTTGATTTGCAAGGTGTAAATGATTTTGCACATTTATTCAAAAAATGTGACGTATTGTTGATTTACACATTTTTATGTCTGTATTTATGTATGTATACGATTCCCATATTTTGTTGAACACACTCTCTATTTGGCTAAAAGTAGAAACCCAGGGTCTTCCAGCTAGGGCCTGAAAATCTGTAGGAGTCATCACAAGAGTCTCATATTTTATCGATAAAGCTAATTAATTTACATAACCCCCATGTATTGTTCATCATTTTTCATTCGTTCAAAATCATGATCTGATTGGTGGTTTGGAACATGAATTTTGTTTTTCCATTCAGTTGGGAATGGAATCATCATCCCAACTGACTTTAACTCCATCATTTTTCAGAGGGGTGGGGAAAAACAACCAACCAGATTATAATGATATAATGAGGATATATTCACTATGATTATTCATCAACCAGAATATGATTCATCAACCACAATTAATGATGTTTTGATATATATTTTTGATTTACACCTCCATAGCTTGTTGATTCAAAACCACCAACCGTCACGTTGGGTTTGCGTAACGTACGGTACCCCAAATTTGATGCTCCGAAAAGATCAGTTTACCCGGTAACAGGCACATTTTCATTTTGACCCCCAATTTTCTAATGAGTTGATGATGATTCAGAAACAGAAACAGAAATCCCGTCCCTTCAGAATTTTCTGAATTTTATATTTTATGCTTCGCTGAAAATTCCCATGTTAGGCATGCAACTTGCTTGAAAAAACACCAGTTATGGAATCCATTGCATCCCAGGACCTGACACGAGTCAGGAAGTGGCAGTCGCCCGCACTGAGTCGTCGCGACGACTCAGCAACCGTTTCGAACCGTTTCGAACCGTGGTGTTTTCAAAGACGTTCTTCATCGTTCTTCCATAAAACTGGGGGATGAACCAAAATTGCTCATTGTTTCATATCTGGTTGGTGGTTTGGAACATTTTTTATTTTTCCATTTCATATATGGGATAATCCTTCCCATTGACGAACTCATATTTTTCAAGATGGTTACCACCAACCAGTTCTTCATTTTCCTTTTCTGGGAAACCACACCAAAACGGGAACTGAAACGCAGCTATGCCTTGAGTGGATTCAGCAAATGTGACAAGTTACCAGCAAAAAAACCTGTTGTCAAGCCATCAGGGGTGCATAGCAATACCGAAAATGAGGTTTCCAACAACAAGACCTAGGGATTTGCCAATCAAAATGTTAGAGTTCGGCCAACAAGATACGATCCATCCTCGGACTAGCGTGGTGAAGGAAGTTGGCCGTGCTCCTATCAACCATTTTTTTACGGGCCAGTTACACCATTGTAGCAAGCCCTAAAAAAAGATAGTACCATATTTATTGATCCTGTAGCAGGATTTTCCTTTTCTAGCTTTTGGGAGGTGCTGTAGACCCTCCAGATTTCATTGGTACCCTCTGGTTATAGCATAGCTTGCTGGAAAGTGCACCATTTAGTGTAATGATTTTCTCAAACCGTCCATTTGGGGCATTCCCAGTGCCATGTTTGACGACACCAGAAGGGGGCTACCAATTCTTCAAAAACACACTTGGCTCACAGATAAGGACCGGAACTGGGGGGATGCCACCGAAGAATCGTGGACTACCTTGGTTGCGATCAACCATTCTCATCTTTCAAGATTCTGGGAATTCTGTCAGTGCCATATTTTGGGCATTTTGGTGATGATCAACCAATTTTGGGATTCCCATCATCAAAATCAAAGTCAGAGTGAATTTGATATTCCCATCTTTCTTATTGACTTCCATTTCTCCCTGATCATGTCAATGTACCTGTGTCGCAGCAAATATCCGCTCTTGCACCCCATGAATTTGACGGATGGCCATATACTTCTTTTGGAAACACATTTTTTCAATATTTTTCAGATATACATAGATATACATAGATATACATAGGTATACATAGATATACATAGATATACATAGATATACATGGATATACGTGGATATACATATGGACAACACTTTTTGGCCTCTGAAGTGTTGGGGGGAACACTCTAACCGCATCATCCACCAAGGCAAACTCCAGGAAAACTGCAAGTGCCGAACAGTGCAGGACTTGAGCTGGGGACATGAGGACGTTGCAACCATGGAACATCACCATGTTTAAAAACGCATGGTAGATCCACGAACTAAATGGGCCATTTTCAGTAGTATAATGTGGGTAAAGCAATAATAAACCATCCGCCGAATCACCATAAATAGGTGGTGAAAACCATTAAAAACCATTCCCAAATGGGTGGTTTATTAGTGTTTTACCCACATCACATGACTGTTAAACTAGGGTAACACACAAAGTGCATTGAGAAGTGGGTACGATTCGTATGATCCTTGTCCAGGTTAACTTGGGCTGATCAAGTATATCTCAGCAGACTTTCTAGGTAGGAACGTTCTCTGGTACATCAACATGGCCACTGACAATCTCCATTTTGATAGGAACATCATCTCCAAATTGCGATGTGAACTTACCAAACAGTAGACACAACTAATTGGCTGGTCTAGTAACTCTAGGATCCGCATATGATGGGCCCTGAAAATAGCTTACATAACTGATTGGTGGTGACTGGAACATTTTTTTTATGACTTTCCAGTATTATTGGGAATGTCATGATCCCAACTGACCAACCAGATAACAATCAAAATTCCATGGTTTATCTCTCCATTTTGCCTATTTTTCAATGGCCGGGGGTATCCCTTTAGACTGGCTGGTCATCTGTCAAAGCCAAAGAAATCAGATTCTTCAGGTAGGGTTTGTCCGAAAATATGGGGAAAACATGGAAAAAAACATGGAATTGATGGTTTGAAGCTTAGTTTTCCCACAGAATTGTTAATGTCATGGGATTTAAATTCCATTTCCAAACACACCCAAATATCATATGGTCTATATATCCCATGACATTCCCAGTCCCAGAAAAGGCTTAGTGTTTACTCCCCGTGTTCAACACGGTGATATCATGATGCCCTTCGTGCTTCACCCCACTAGAATCAACGAAAGAACACATATCATTAATATCGCATATCATATATGGCATATCATATCATTCATATACATATATATATATGGTGGTTTCTTAAAATGGGGGTACCCCCCAGTTATCATCCAGCTATTTGTTTGGGATTTTCCATGATAAACCATGTAACCATCCAGCTATTGGGGTACCCCCATGACTATGGAAACCATGACGCTCCACCCCGGGCTGGTAGGAAGCCCTGGGCACAAGCGCGCCTTGCGCGCGGGGTCGCATGAGCTGCTTGGAAAAACGAAGGCATTTGACCAACTCTTTCGGCTTGATTTAGAGTTTGTTAAGGGTTTCATTTAGGGTTTTTACCATGGTTTTAATAAGATTTTACTTCAAAGCGTAATTAGGATTTTATGTTAGATTTGGGTTTTAGGTTTTAGGGTTCAGGGTGTTGTGTTTTGGAAACAAATCTCGTCAGCCAATTCGCAAAATGGCCGACATCCCAAAATGCATAAAACACTGGCCCTGCGCAGTCAAAGCGCACTTCCCCGGGCAGCACACCCGTCCTGCCCGTATATGTATATGTAATGTATATATACGTATATATATATTTACATGTCTATGCGTATGTGCATGTGCATGTGTATGTGTATGTGTGTGTATGTGTATGTGTATATTTATTTATCTTCCACACACACATATATATATACTTGTACAATACATATCATTTGATCCAATGTGAGTGGAAAACATTGACACCATTTTAGATTTGAGCACGCCGACCAAAGTGCCTACCTACATAGATACATAGATACATAGATACATAGAGACAATACAAAGATAGATACATAGATACATAGATACATAGATACATAGATAGGTAGGTAGGTAGGTAGGTAGAGAGACAGATAGACGGACAGACAGATTAATTAGATAGGTAGATAGATAGATACACAGATAGATCAGAGAGATAGATAGATAGATAAATAGATAGATAGATAGATAGATAGATTAGATTAGATTAGATTAGATTAGATAGATAGATTAGATAGATAGATCGATAGATAGATAGATAGATCGATGGATGGAGGGATGGACGGACAGATACAGAGATACAAAGATACAGAGATACAGAGATACATACATACCTACCTACCTACCTACATACATACATACATAGATACATACTTAATACATACTTAAATCGACACATACATGAATAGATACATAAGTAAGTAAATACGTACACACACAATATATATATGTATAGACATGGATACATACAAAAATGCATGCATGAATGCATGCATGCATCCATTGCATGCATTCATGCATCCAAGCATACACGCATAGACACATAGAAATGTAGCACAGAAGAACATACATCCGTACATGTACATAGATACATGGATGTGTGTGTATATGTATATATTTAAGTGTATACATGTGTGAAAACCTGGACACTCACGGAGTTTGCTCTTTTTTCAACATCCCATCTTTAGCATACCCTCCGGTAATTTGGCAGACAGTTTGCTATGGAAAATGGCCCATGAACAGCTATTTTGAATCTAACATTACCCATAAGACGAGGAGCCGGCCAGTAATATTACTATAGACTAATAGAGAATGCATATACAAAAAGCTATCCATATGATTCCATATGGAGGTTTCCATAAATGAGGGGATCCCCAAAATGGATGGTTTATAATGGAAGGTCCTATTTAGATGGATGATTTGGAGGTACCCACCATTTTAGGAAACACCCATATGGCTAGAATAATATATAAATACATATACATCATACCTAGTCTCATCACCCGAATATTAAACACTAATATTAATCACCAGTTCCAGGAGCCCAACAGGAGGACACCCAAGACGATAAGATTCTTAACGTCTGCAGTATTGCATGTATTTTTATATATGTTGAGAAGATTTGAGAAGTATAGAAACAGTATGTGTTTTTTCAATGTTTTTCATGTGTTTAGATTTGTTTCAAATAATATCATTCGAAGCTCTTTTGAACTATGTTTTGCACGGGTTATGAAAAACTTTTGGATATTCACACCAATTCTACAAAACCCTCGTGTTTTGAGCAATTGTGACTTTTTTGGAGCATGCATAGACACATGCAGGTAGACAGATAGAATTATGAAGGTAATTTGAATGTGTGTTGACTGGGTTTTGCATGAGTTTGAAATCGAAGTCACTTGAAGGGAAAAATGCAACATGTTATTTATATATGTATATATATATCATTGATTATCATTGTACTTGTATACATGGAACTCTTTGACACATTTTTTTTTCAAATATTTCTACTGCAACTATAACATGTCACGTAGCCACTATGGCAAAACCGCCTTCAGGACAGGTGCAAATTGTTGCAACGAGTGGTTCTAGTAATATGTCATGTGGGTAGCATATGGTCGAGCCTGCCTTAAGTACAGATGCACGCAGTTATTAACAAACATGCTTCTGGTATCTTCTCAATTATGTGGAAATTCCCTACATCCATCATGGTTTTTAAGGGGGTGTTTAATATTAGGGGGAAGGGATTATTATTGGATAATCTGCGCAATAATCCAATAATAATCCATAATATTAATATATTTTTTATATATTATATCGTTATGGATTATTCTTGGATTATTATTATTGGATTATATTATTACCATATTATGGATTACTAGATTATTTATCCATAGTATTATTATTATAATCCAATAGTAATCCATAATATTAATCCAATAATAATGCAATAAAAATGATAATCCAATTTTTATTAATAAATTTTAATAATCCAATGATAATCCATAATATTATCATTATATTATTACCCCCCAAAAACCAAAAACGTTGAGTTCGACAACGCTGCCGGAAATCCCCCCGGTCCATCAGGTCCATGGGCTCCCGCGGCTCACGCGACGACCAAGGCTCACGGGCTGTGTCCATAAGAAATCCCATGGGAAAACAGAAACTTCAATGTGAAAAAAACACAGTCATGGATATATATATATATAATATAATATATATGTATATATATATATATGCCCTCTGGATATTTAACATGTAATATATACCATGTAATATATATATACACCATGTAATATATACCATGTAATATATATATATAGCCTCTGGATATTTTTCACATAGCCATGGAACCAAGGAACATGGCCCATAGAAATAGATGATAAACATGATGATTTACCGTTTTTTAAAATGGTGATTTCCCAGTTCGCTACGTTAAATAACCACAGGGTATATATAGAATCATCTTGGGATTTTTCATTGTGGTCTGTGGTTTGATTACGAGGAAATTTTGGGATTCAGGATATCATTTCTACATGTGCCTTGGTCAAAAGTTGGACGGCACAATGGTTTATCATCTTTTTACCTGTTTTATTTTTACAATGGTAAACCGTGGTTAGGTAAATGGTCAAAAGGTGGATGATGATAGAAACAAAGGTTCTGGGGATAGTAATCCCCCATTGATCACGGTTTATATACCCATTGTAAATAACCTCAATAATAGTAGGACAACCTATAACGCAGATGCCATGTTTTGACCATGGCACGTATTGAACCTATTGTGCTGAATTAACTTAATAGCCACAAGAGGTACCATTCGGTAATCAAACATGGCAGTTAAAAAAATCCCCTATTTAGTTCGATAATCTTCCCAGCTATAAACTATAAACCTCCATTTCGTTCGGGGATTTTCGAGCCACGTTTGGTGACACGTTTTGGGGTAACTGCGTTTTGGTTGTCTTTGAAGTTGTCTCTAGTTACAATGCCAAGTTTTCCGTCTTCAAATGTATCTGGCTTGTTAGGAGCAGCTCTGGAGCAGTAGCCAATCGATTTATGGAAGATTTGAACATTGGCCCATGGGCTGTAAACCAGGAAACCCTGGGCCACTGGATTCAGAAATGATTTGCCAATGGAAAGTCATTGGCCCAACTTATGGCGATCAAACGTTGGAATTTGGTTCCGTACCCTATATTTTTGCCACGGAACCATTCTTGTTCTGCAACTGTTGGAGTCAAACTGTCCAAAGGACTGTCTATAGCCATTCCTCAGTGGAACAATAGGGGTGTTTCACGGTGTTTCACGCTACTGGGGGATGGGGCTAATGTAGTTTGCCAGTTGGAAAATGGCACATTTTGTTCGTTGATTTACCGTTTTTAAACATTGTGATTTTCAATAGCTATGTAAACGTTTACCAGAGGGTATCTATTGTTTATTTGTTGATCTATGAAATAAGGACTGTGAGTTGGTTTATATATTTCCATTTTTTTTGCATGATATGACATTGATATTCCATCCAGGTTTTCTTATATACGCCAAGTAATGGGGATGGGTTTATACATTAATATCCATCAATAGACTTTCTTCTTGAAGTTTAGGTTGAGTTCCCACTTCACCTGTCGCTGTTTTCTAACTCAAAGTGTTCTTTCTGTAGGCAGAATGTCAACTTTTTGAAGTTGTGAGGATTTGTTTCTTTGTGACGTGAGTGAAATGTGGAATTTACAAGACCTGCCATGGTCTTATCTTTGACCTACCATGGACATCCATATTATTTTTCGTTTTTCCTGCCATGGAAAACTTGAAACAAAGAACGCCGTTTTCTGACAAAGAACTCAATTTTCAATCAAGTTCATGGAATCCTTCCGTGCCACGCGTCGGAGTGAAAAGGGGGAAGCGAAACCTATTATCTATTATATATTATATATTATATATTATATATTATATATTATATATACATTATATAATATATATTTTATATTATATATTACATATTATATATTATATATTGTTTATTATATATTATATATACATTATATAATATATATTATATATTATATATTATAGATTATAGATTATATATTATATATTATATTATATATTATATATATTATATATTATATATTATTATATATTATATATTATTATTATATATATATATTATATTATATTATATTATATTATATTATAGTATATTATATTATATTATATTATATTACATTACATTATATTATATTATATTATATATATTAATATCCCACTACCCTTTGGTAAACTAACATAGCCACGGAAGATTGCCATTTTCACCAGAAATTACTCTCCCGTAGACTGATATAGATGCGGTTTCAACCATCCGTTTGTAGATGATTTTTGGAAGGACACCGTTGTTTTTCCACATCTTTATGCGCCACATGGCAGTTTCCGTAGGCAGCGGCAGGAAAGAGCAACAGCCCGGAACTCGACATTGCTTTCCCACAGAAAGCACCCTGTTTTGGGTGTGACATCTCATCAAATTCCGACCAGTTGGCCTGTGAAAAACGGGGTGCTAAACAAAAACCATCCTTTCCGGAACTTTGTCGCTATGATTCAGCCATGATTTGCTAGTTACTCAAAATATAAAAGTGAAACATCACCAGATTCATCGTTTGGGATTTATGCATACACACACACACACTATATAATTGGGTTGTAATACTAATGTGGGCATTTTCGGGGAACTATGCACAAACCTGAAGCTGATATGTGAACCGATGACGGATCAAGCCTGGGCCGATTTGTATCTACAGATGGGTCTTTTCTGGGCATTCCAAACATCCAAGTCTGATGTACCCGACATGGAAAAGCATGCTTTGGGGATACCAGGCACCGAATGTTGACCTTAATGAGGTTTGTCCAGTCTCAGACACCCGGCAATGAGAAAATCTGGATGGTAAACCATAGATTCTGGGGCCGTTTTCAGCAGTTCGCCCGTATGATTTTACCAAGAAACACGGCAGATATTGAGATTTCAGGATTACCATTGGAAGTTCTGATCACAAAATGGTTCAAATTGAAGACCTCCCGAAGCCGCAGATTCTCGCGTTTTTATTCTGCATTCAACAAACAGTGAGGATTTGATTAACAATTGGCATTAAACCAACAGCTACAAAGGCGATTCGGGTAACAAACATGGGGATTAAACCCTAAGGAATGGAACCAACTTTTTTTTTGCCCCCCACGTCACGTTGGTTGATGTTACATCTGACTAGTTCCATTATTCTGCACCATACCCTCCGGTCATGTAACATAGCTATGGAAATACAATGGATATTTTCTCAAAAGATACTCACATGATTCCATTACAGTATAGTTCCATTAAGGTTTCATTACTCTTCCAGCATAGTTTCATTATAGTTTCATTTTACACTTCCATCATAGTTACAAGTTACATGTTATAACAATGCATATATAGAATATCTCATTCTTCCATTTTGCTGCTATCATTCTGTCAAAAATACTATGCTCACTGAATACAAGATACAGAATATGATAGAAGATATACTTACTATTGGATAGTTCCATTTGCAATAAGTGTATATCTTCCGATATTCTAAATTCCAAACGTTTCATTCTGTTTCATTATTGATAAATGTATATCTGACTGTAGATCTCCAATGATAACCTGTAGATCTTCCATTGGATACTTCCAGACATACCCTGCAGCACCTTTCTCCAAGGTCCGTGGACGACTCATGTGATGTGGCTGATGACGGAGGCTGTCACTGGGAATAACTCAGGATTTTAAATGGAAACCACGTTACTGTATCATATGAGGCCATAATTTGTCTTGGGAATTTGTCTTTGGATATTCCCTTACATAGCTGAGAAGTTCTCGGAAATCATGAGAAAAAGATGGCAACATAGAATTGTTGTGGTGAATTGCGAAAAAACTGGTCCAGATCTTTTTCAAGTCTGACAAGTTGTTCCGCGGTGATTTATGAAGTCAAACCACCACATAAGAATCCATTGAATATGAGGGCATACACCAGCTCTCTATCTATAGATACCCTCCGGCGCCCTCCGGTGTTCTCTAACATGGCTGACTTGGAATTTCCCTATACATGGAGGTTTGACTGGGAAAATCATCTAACATCGGGGGACTTTTCATTGTCATGTTTGACTACCAGAGGGTATACGGTATACATATATAATCATATATATATATATCATAGTTAGGGTGCCAGATTGAGTTTAATGAATGCATGCATTACAGCAGAAGTGAGACTGCAGAACCATCTACCACGGCAAAGAGTAAACCAACACCAATCGACCATTAATTAGCTTGATTAACTGATTTGGAAGACACTTTCAACTGGTTTCTTTCGCTTGAAGATCCAGCAAAAACATCTTGAAACCACTGATTTAAGAACAGCCTGGAAAGAGTGAAACAACAGAATAGACCAGTGCTTTTGGGGGAACCATGAGCCGAGAACTGAACTGGGGGATCCTAGTGACGATGGGTAAACATCACCGACCATCATTGGCGTTCTGACGATTGTTTGTTATGGGATTGGCTTTCCCATTTTTGTGTCATAGAAGTATGGGCCAGTCTGGGGTACTACCCAGGTTCCACGTGGGATCAACAACATCCGTTCGCACTTGATGCGAAGAACATGTCACCGGACCTTTTCTTGCATCCGACCAGGCGCCCCTGCTCCGCGCAGGATTCTTGGCTAAGAATTAAATCAGAGGCCCATGTTTGGAAGTCAACCCTGAGAATCATGACCCCTCCCATTTTTGAGCCCTGGTAGCTCCAAATTCAAGACGCTCCCCGGATTCTGTTCGGGATCACTTTAAAAAAAAATGAATCAAGCTGCAGTTGCGAACCCAGTTTACCAAAAGTCACAAGCCGACAAACAATTGGAATAGTTGGGGACGGTGTCAGTTGAGAAAAGATAATTTATTTCGCACCATGGAACGACCTACACCATCCGGTAGTCAAACATGGCTGGCTTGGAAATCCACAAAAAAACAGAGGTTTATAGCTGGGAAAATCATCTATACAGAAGGGATTTCCCATTGCAACGTTTGATTATCACAGGGTAAATCGTATAAATACTCATTTCAACCTCAGTGACTGGAGAGCTGTCCATTTGCCCCTGGTCTCTGGCACCCGAAAGCGACAGAAATTTGATCAAATTTGAGTTTTTTGTTTCTCCATCGAAATTCAATCAGTTCCACGTTTGATTGCTGGAAAGTGGGTACCCCCCAAATAATCGAAGGGTGGTGCCCAAATTTTGTTCTGCAACTTACCCAGCTTGCTTGAATCTCGTATTTAACTGTTGGTATCTTTAGGAATAGCCCAAAGAAACTCTCATGAGATTGAATGTACACTCGCTCTTTCTGACATATGCTCATGAAAAACAGTTCAGCAGCGACCAAAAACCCTATTGATTACTCTACTGTAGTTATTTTCTGGGGATTCTTGACCTACCTTGTTTGTAACTCCACCACAAAATGACCAATGAACTGTGAAAACTGCGTTCTCAACCAGTTGGGATGAGGATGATTTGATCCTGGGCTGGCTGTCAACCCCCTTGGACAAACAGAGAACTCATTTCATGGATGACGATTTCGAACATAGCAAGAGTTGAATCTTCGAGACTTGGTCATGGATGACCAATTTACAGGGTCCCTGAAATACCCTCTGGTAATTTAACATAGCTATTGAAAATGACCATAGAAATAGTGGATTTTCCCATTGAAAATGGTAGATCTTTCCATTGTCATGTTAGTTTACCAGAGGGTACCTCAGCCTCAATCAACCGATAGAATTCCTGCAGCAAAATTGAACCACTCTGTAAGAAAGGAAAAACCACAAGCCACCAAGATTTCCTAGGTGCTGTTCAAGAACAAGACTACCAGTAGCAGTTAAATTGAGATTTGACCTGATTTGACCAATCAAAACATATCAGTCTAACAGCCTAACAGCTGAATGCGGATTAACCAACAGTAATTACGCTTAGTATTGGCTGGTTAACATGCCTTTATTGGCTGGTGTTACTGAAACATTACCAGTCCTAAGCCACAGCCATTGGTGGCCTCAGGTTGATGGCCTCGCTTCAGGATCTTCGGGCTTTTCTCGAAATTTCCATCCTTTTTTCGCCTGGTAAACCAACACAAAAAGCTATTGAAGCCATGGCCCAGTCAAAAGTTCCTTGATTTGCCCAGCTATAAAAACTGGTGGATCTTTCCATCGTTTTTTGTATGTTTACCAGAGGGTAACCCTTCCAACGGCCATGAAAATCATAGGGAAAGTGATGAGACAAACCACTGTTTACCAGAGGCTACTCCCTCTGCTGCGATCCTTTGGGAAATCGAATGGTAGCGATATCATAATTTATGTATATGATGTATATGCATATACATATATATATATAAACATGAATTACATAATAAATTATACATACATACAGATAATTTATGTATATTATGTATCTATACAGATAATTGGGTTTTGACTATGGTCGCACATTGAGGATAGTCCTTGTCCCCAAACTCAGGGATGATTTCAAGAAAAAATCGGGGATTTGCCGAAATCAAGGATGACAAAACAGACCATCAGGTAATCAAACATGGTGGAAAATCCTCCATTTAGTTTTTATTGCGCTGATTTTCCCATTCAAAAAATGTATCTGTAGGGGATTTCCCAGCCTTCCACGCTTGACGGAAGGCAATCATCATGATTCCATTCATATCCCATTAATATTCCACAATATCCCCATTACCCTCTGGTAAACTAACATAGCCATGGAAAATGGTGATTATAGTGGATTTTCCCATTAAAAATGGTGATTTTCCATAGTTATGTTAGAGGGTATATACTATAAAAAACCAACATTTTTCCATTTTTTCCCTCCAGTTTTTTTCCGGATGAAATGGGATGGCTCCACCTGCGCAGGAGTTGGGACTGACACCTAGGTCCCACGAGGGGGAGTACCCAAATAGCTGGATGGTTTATTTTGTGGAAAATCCAAAAAAAAACATGGATGATGAACGAGGGTAGCACCATTTTCGGACAATTTAACTATGTGGCTTTTATGCAACCATTGATTCGGGGCAAGATGATGTCGGCACGCTGTTTTTTTTTCGCAAGAAACACATGATTTAACCATCAAACATGGTGGATTTGTCAGGAAACAACAATAGGGTACCACGGGATGTCCTGGTGTGCGTGGAAAGCCTGGGTCACCCAAGAAGCTATGGCATCCTTGCCGCGGCCAGTTGGGAAATCCTGATTCCCTTGGGTCGGAAATTGCAAGAACCAGTCGAATCAAGGGCATTTTTCTTGGGACAAGTCAGCTGAACTGAGATCATTGGCGAATTGGCTAGTTTCCCCATGCCCCGTGAAGTCCCTTTTTTAGTTGAGGGTAGTTTCCCCCATCCATTTCTGACTACAGATGACTACAGTCTCTTTTTCGAAGGGTTTTCCCGTTTTCCCAATCTTTACCCTCTGGTAATTTAACATAACTATGGAAAATCACCATTTTTCATGGGAAAATTCACTATAAATGGTGATTTTCAATAGCTATGTTAAATTACCAGAGGGTATGCCATGTTCTGCCGATATTTCCTTCCCAAGTCACGGCCAGGTCGAAAGCCACCAGCTCGCAAAAGGCGTTGATTCAGAAGCAGCGCCTAAGGCCTGCCATAACTTGGCATCAACAGGGTTTACCCTCTGGTAAACATACAAAAAAATATATGGAAAATCACCATTTTTAATAGGTAAATCCACTATATATGGTCATTTTCAATAGCTATGTTAAATTACCAGAGGGTAGTATTTTGGAAGCCCCCAAGAAAGAGAGAAAGGTCTTCACAGAATCATCACCATTTTTGTGGTCCAATTTCACTTTTCTAGCGTTTTTTTTTGTGTGTGTGTTTTCTTAAATGGGTTTATTCTGGGCAATCCCCAACCCCTAACTGGAATCGGTGGTTGAAGATGGTTTACATGGGAAACATACCCAATAGGGAACGGATTTCAAATTCAATCTTTTCTTCAAATAAATGCCCAAAATCGCAAACAGCAAACTGAACACCAAAGAAGTAGTTGCTGTGGGGTTTTCACCAGCAATATTTTTTCGGGTCCAAACAATACAACCAGTGAGTTTTTAAGGGGCGGTATACCATGGTGAAAATCCTCCATTTTTACTTGGGAAAGCATCATCTATCGGAGGTATCAATATAACATGTTGATTTGAGTCACGGGGGCTTTCTCCATCATCCATTTACGGGGGCGATTTTTTTCAGCCAGGAGTATGAGCAAATCCAACCTGAATATCAAAGCCAAGTCGCGCTTTCCCTTACTGATGCTTGGCGAATTTGATTGGTCACTATTTTTTTCTACCCTTTTTTTGTGACTGGGGCTACAACTACCAAAGGTTTAAGGCTCATCACTCATCACCTACTTGAGCCATTCAACATAGTTTTGGTGATTGGTGACTCAAGCGGTGCATGCATTGTTTATATTGTGGTAACCCCCAATAGCCATTATTCCAGAATGGTAGCTCCATGTTCTCAGCGGGTCAACCACGATTTCATCATATTTCCATCGGTTGAAAAATCCTAATTTTTGCTGGCCAAGATTCACTGGAATGGAGGATTCAAGTTTCGCTTTTCTTGGATAAATGATGGTAAATCATGATTAAAAAAACATGATAAAAGTCATGAGAACATCACGATTCATCACGATACACATCCAACTTCATCACTTTTTTTTTTGGTAAATCATGGTAAATAACATGATTTTATTGGGATGTTTTTAACAGGTGAAACCAATAAAATCATGGTAAAAAACATCCCAATTTCTATTTGCTTCACCTCCGAATATGGCTCCAAGGAGCGGCTGGTGTCTTCGCATCGTGGATCACACTGCGTTGCTGAGTTGAAGCTTTCCATTGGTCTTGGACATAACGTGGAGACATATGTATATACTGTATATACGTATGGTCTGGCCATAACTTTGAATATGTATATATATATATGTAATATTATACACACCTGTTAACAGATAGATAAATAAATAAATAAATAAATGAATGAATGAATGAATGAATAGATATATGTATGTATATATATATAGCGTGGTCCAACCTCTTGGAACTACCAATACTCCCAACCGGTGCTGTATATATATATATAGCGTTTTTCGTGACGTCGTTGATCAAAGTTATTGCCCCTCCCCCAGTCCCCCAGGACATGACGGTGATGTCAACATGAGTTGATTGCCCGTAGCAAAAGAAATGCTGCTCTAAGGGCTTGGACAAGCATATATATATATATACTGAAAAGCTAGAATTCAAGTTTCATCCCCCATTATATATATATTAATCCCACTGATTGTCTCATGGGTTTTGACCCATCACATCTCTTCACTGTTTGGATTGTGGCAACTTTCATATGGCAAATCCTTGGGCACCTTGGCCACCAAACAGCTACCGGGGTCATTTTAAATGATCCAATCCCTGGTATAGCCAATTCATAAGCCCAAACATGGCTGGCTATGATTGGGTTTACCATGATGTTACCTATCGGGGAAATGAATCACCAGCTCTTTCACTTAGCTATCAGATGAGTATATGACCCCATGATATTTTGATGTGATCCTTGAGTTTGTTTGAACATATCAACTGGTTCATCATCATTTTCCCCTCTAAACACTTCAATTTTATGGCACACCTCATTTTGAGACATGTCCAAACACCATAGTGATGATCATATATCATCACATGTCCCATGTAATAACATTCGGACAAAACGTTTGGCTCTAAATATCCATACATTGCTTATGATTCCATATGATTCTATATGATTTGCAGACACCACGTCTGACTGTCGCACAGCCCTTTTTTGGTATTGCTTCTGAGGTTTATGGCCGCCGTGGTCTTGGTGATTTTCATCCAGTCGGTCTACATGGGCACCTTGATCGTGTGAACCAAAGGCCTTGAATATTTTATGACTTAGTTGTTGTTATCCAAAGCCATAAGATAATTTTGTTATTATTTAGTACCACTAATAACCATCATCAGTAGTAACAATTCATATTATTAGTGATATCTTTTTTTTATTGGTTATTTGGTTGGTGGTTTGGAACATTTTTTATTTTTCCATATATTGGGAACAACAATCCCATTCGACTAATATTTTTCAGAGGGGTTGAAACCACCAACCAGTTATAATTGGTGATGATTCGTCATTCGTGGTTACTAATGGTTGTTATCCAGTGTTTGAACGGCTGGGAGCCACCGGCTGCTTTTGTTTGGGGGTGTTGAAAGCAGGATTGGGATGACATTTATTTGATTTGGCTTCTTTGAAGTACTATGTTGTTGGGGTCTGAACATATAACCATATATAACCTATCCCAGTCCACTGCCAAAAATCATCGTCTTCCCGTTTGGGTGTTTACCCGATTTTCGTTCAAGCCCAAATACCCTACCACAGCATATCCCATCAAAAATTCCCATCACCTCCATGTTTGTTGGTTTCAAACAGCCCATTTTCTGGCAACAACAAAAAAGCTCCTATGAAGTTGGCATCCCAATTCCTCATGATATAACCGAATATTAGTTGGTGAATAGTCCATGATGATAAGAACCAACCCATAAATATTCCCATACCATGGTTGGTTATAAACCATATGAGCAGTGACAGAAATCACTTTGATTGATTAGTATAGAAGATTATACTCCTATATACTCCTGATATTTTTCGGTTTTTCGGGGGATGGTTCTCAACCATTGCAATCGAATGAACAAATGAACAGTTTTTGTGACATGTGTGTCGATTTAGATTCACCCCTTATGAATGCTATAATTTTCATGATTAATTATGCAACCAAGGTATATATGGATTATTAATCACAACAGAAATTATCCACTATATTATGCAACCATGAATGGTTAATAGATATATTCCCCCATTCTTCCCACAAAAAAATTTACAACCAAGTCCTCACCGTGCGGTCTCACCTTGTCCACCTTGTGCCATAGGATTTCCATTGGATGAATAACATTTTTTTTTCCATTCATAAACCATTCATAAACCATTCATAAACCATTCATAAACCATTCATAAACCATGTTTACTCTGAATTCCAATCTCTATTTTTTATACAATGCCGATGGGAATCCTGTGAGTATACCATTCCCAGGTCTTGAGGACGAAGGAAGTCTGGTGGTGGACGTTGACGACTCAGGGACCAGGGACGAGGGACTCCAGGGCAACGTGCCAAGCCGTGCCAAGCACTGCCAGGTCTGAAGTCCCCATGGGGTATCTGAAAACCCATGGCTTTCAATACTAAAAGGCTTGAAACATTTTGAGGATGATGTGGGGAAGCCTCATTTTAGGAAACCTCCATAGGTTGAAAAACAAGTTTCCAAAATCTCTGCATGAAGTTCTTGATTAGACTACAGTATATATACTATACATAGATATGACTAGACAAAATATATCCCCCATGTCAGGGGGTTTGAAGGTAACCAAGGAAGCGGCTAGCCCACTAATAATCAGTGGACGTATCACCAAAACTTTTCGTCGCACAAAGGTCCTTTTCGCCGCCTTTTACTTTATCGAGCTGGCCATGCGGCTCATTGCCTACGGCGTACCTTGGAGTGGATTTCCTGGGTGTAAGGAGCAAGCATGTGAAAATTAGCTGCAATTTCAGAGGTAGGAGTAAATATGCTAAGACTGGATGTCTCTAAAAATTTGGGTGCCCCAAAGTCATCCTAACATTGAATCTTTAAATGCCAATGGTTGAGCGGGACCCCAGTTTTGGCGAAACAGCAATGACCCCACTGAGCCAAGCGAGCGGAGCTGCTGGGCTTGGAGAAGCATATTAGACATATTGATATGGGTTTGTCTGAAAATAGGGTATATTCCCAATTATAGCCATTTAATAGGGATAATGATCATTAACCATTGGGTTTAGGGGTTTTCTCTATTTTCAGACACCCCCATATGATTGGAACACGCGATGATTCAGAAGGAAGCGTGTAAAAAAGTGTTGCTGTTTCGAAGAAACTCACGTGCACCGTCGTAGTCTCACTTTGTAGTTTTTACGTCCAGGACAGGCCTTGCATGGTGTTTCCATGATGGGCATGCGAAGTTCATCCATGTTTTTTTTGTTTTGAGGGTTGAACATGATTGAAATAAGATTTGGTACATACCATGGGATTCACGGGATTTGATTTCATTTCGATGGTCCAAAGAATTCACCAGTAACTCAGTACAGAATCACATCATCAACCATGTAAATGCACCCATGGCCGCATCGTCGTCATCACCATCATCAAAGCCCATTCTGGCAGATGGACCTGGATGAGGACGTGGATGATGATGATGATGATGATGAGGAGGAGGAGGAGGACGACGACGACGATGATTATTATGGTGGTGGTGGTGATGATGGTTATTTTATGTTATTTTTGTGTTTTTGTCCTTTCCTGTTATCATTTGTGTCATCGTTGACCATCCAGGGAGTTTGGGGATCATGGCGAGCGTCACCGTTGCGCCCGTTGCGCTGAGTCTGACTTCCTGAAGAGTGCCTTCAATCTGATGGATCTAGGCCGGTGCCCAGCCACGCTCAGTATAGTCATTCTGGATATTTTGGAGCTACGAAGATGGATTTTTTAACAAGACATCCTCACTAAAATGGAGAATGAACATGTCATAATGTCATACTCCATCTACCAAAAAGGATGGATTCTTTACAACCAAAATATGAGGTTATTCCATCTCTAACGGGGATAAAACCTGTAATCATGAGGGAATTAACCAACAATCAGGTTACATGGCAACGCTATTTCAGAAATTGGCCAGCCAACTATGGAGATTCAACCCGTCGTATGTGTAAACCGCAAGATGATTGTTTAAGGATCAACACATTGGGATGTTACAAGTAGAGTACTTTCCCATTTTTTTAAATGAGATTAGGGGGCTCTGAAAAAGATATGAAAGTCAGAAAACTATCCCAGAAATCCTCACCGAAAATGCCATGAAACACTGGGATCCCCCCATTTTTGTTGGGAAATCGTCACAGATTTCCCAGAACTGAAATTGTGGGATCGGTGGCGGGCAATGACCAATGATCCCCAAAAATTCAGAACTTGCCGCTCCCAAAATGCTCCAAACACGTTTGATATATACGTGTATATATATAATATACATATAGTTGTTGTTGGTATCGGACAGCAACCTGCTCTTCACCGAAGTGAAGTAGTTAAGACTCCTTTGTTGCCCAGCAGCGGAGCGGCCACTCCACACATGACCGGCGAAACCAGTCAGCAATCCAACCTTAAAATCAAGTCACCACAGTGAGGTTTAACCCTCCATGTCCAACATTGTGCGCCAAAAGCGCATCGTGTTGTTTACCTGCAAGTGAAAGGCATGGGTAGACCATGCCACCGCCTCTGCATGTAGTTCTTGCATTTTTTGCAAATTCTGCCTTCCAGTTCGTGGCGGCCGAGTTGGCTGCCATATATAGAACTATATAGTCTACTATATAGTTATAGAGGTACCCCAAAAATAGACACGTTTTTCCGGGGTTTTATAGATGACATTTTTTCCCCATAATTCCAACAGCTTTCCGGTCCCTGTTGGTCCCTGTTGGGTGACATCTCAGTGGCAGGTCTCATCGTGTTGAACTTCGTGGATTTATTGATCGTCATTATCCAGGGCAGTAGTTCTTTAGAAACTTGGCGAAACTGCGGGTGGTTTTCGCTTTGGGGCTGAAGGCTGGTGATGTTACCTGCTGTTACCTCCTGGCTGATAACGCCATATGTTGGGGGTTGGAAGACTTCTATCTAAAGTCAGCTGACAAGTCAATTTGCAAGCCCTGGATTTGGTCTGCAACAGTGCCCTCCAGGGTCAAACATGGCTAGCTTGGAAATCCCCTCCCGAAGAATGGTTGTTTAAATGGGACAATCCTCGAACTAAATGGGAGATTTTCCATTGCCACCTTTTGCATACTGGAGGCAAAATCCATTTTTCAGACGGCAAAAGTGGAGTTTGACAGCCCAATCCCCCTGCCTGTTTGAACCCGCAAACCAGACAGTCCCATCTCAGTAATCCAAGAGTTGCACGATCGAAGTTGTGACACGTTTTATGTGGTGGATTACCCCACTTAGCAAGTGGTTTTATAGACCCTAAAGTAAGTCTATACTAGGTATATGTGAGCCTCACTTATGCTTGCCATATTTTTCTTACGATCATCATTATCATCCAAATTTTCATAGGTTTTTGTACGGTTTTTATGCATTTTTGCTCAGAATAACTCCTGGTTTTTGTTGGCGCCCCATCACCCTTCCTCTGGGGGCTGAGGACGTGATGGTCTGAACCCTGGTATCCTGATGGACGCGATGGATGATCCGATGGCTGTTTCCGCTCAAACGATCTTCTTTCATGGTGGATTTCCCTATGTGAATTCTAAACCACCAGGCCCTAAAGATGCCCAAAGCACGAGTTCACCATGGGTTTACTTGACGAGACTAGGGGATCAACCAACCTTCAATGTATTGGTGAATCTTTTCAGATTGGCAGATTGTGTTGCATTTTTTCTTCAGAAATGCTGCCAATTGCCATCATTTTCGTGGCGGAAACCGATCGAAGGTCAGCTTGAGACTCACTCGTTTGCTTCGGCTGGGTGGTCTGGTACGGGACCTAGTCGGCGTTCAGACACCGGAGTTTGATGAGTTGAACCAACTACGGTTTCTGTTGAGATGGGGATACGGTGACCATGGGGATATACATTATATATATATATAATATGTATGGCCCAGCGTTTGGTGGTCCCCCCCTCCCCCCGAGATGGTGATGGTTCCTATTTGTAAGTGATATATATATATATATACATACATATGTATACATGTGTGTACACACACACGTATACAGTATGATGTATGTATATGTATGTGTATACGCATATATAGCTAGCTGAAAATTCAGGTTTTCTCAGAATTGTTTTGATACCATGAGGCCAGTTCCAAATTTTTGGTCGAAACCATTAATGTTGCCGGGGACATAGCCCATTGATATCTGTTAGTTGCGGTTTTTGGTATACCCCAGTACATCCAGACTCTTGACTTTTCCTCCCCATAATTTTAAGGACAAACCCAAAACCATGTTTCATTGTTCAAATCATCTGGAATGGTTCGAAATCCGTTTGCTGGTCGGTTACTGTAATCCCTACATGTTTGGTCGGCGAAACTCAAATCATTACATTGTGCTTGGTTCAATCCCCTCTTCTGGGTCGCGCATACTGCTGGTATATATATATATATTCCCCATCCTATATATCATTGTATTTCCACCCACTACAATCATTTTTTCACATTATAATTGCCATATATATATATCATTGCCTAAACCATTATTTTTCAATAGTATTTTCCCGGTGCAATGCGCAAAAAAACATTCTAATTGCAGTTTTCTCAATTCCCATGAACCTGGTCATTTTTCTTCATCAGCAAACCAACTTGGACAAAACCAGCGCTGTCATAGCTTCAAGGTGAGACTCCTTCGGTTCTTCAAACCGCTCTACCTCTTGGTGGCTGGCATTATGGTCTCCCTGAAGACTGCGGTGGGTTCGAAGATTTACGGTTGACACGATAGTTTTCACAGCACATTTGTTGGGTTTCTTTCTAAAATACCATTACTCTTTCTAGAATACCCTTAAACCAAATCTGGGATATTAGCGCAAAACTGCTTTGTGGTTTCAAAGACGTTTTATTTTTCCATTTTTGCCTATTTTTGTTATTTTCCCTTATTTTCAATTTTTCCTATTAGATTATTACAATCCCCAGTATATTGGGTAGTATAATTCCATATAATTAATCATCAACCAACCAGGGTTTTGAACACTGTTCATTTGTCTCTTTAAAAAAGGTACCGTGCCCATCTCAGTGTTTTTGTGGTTTGCTTTACCCCAGACTTGGCGATGAGTGGAGATTGGATATGGTGATATGGCCATGGCCATTTTAATGGTATTTCATGGATTTTAATGGCGATTTCAATGGATTTATGGTGATTTAATGGGATGTAATGGGATTTATCCTCTGCAAATCTAACATAGCTATTGAACAATGTTTATTTATAGTTTATTTACCTATTAAAAACGATGATTTTCCATAGTTATGCTAATTTACCAGAGGGTAAACATATTAGTTTTTGTGCTTTCTGGTCATGTTGTGGCTAGATATTGAATTGCTCTGCCATGCTCCATTTCAGAGTTTCATTGTCATGGAATCCAAGGGCGCATTCAGTTGCAAACTCCACAAAAGATGTCTTGTTATCTCCACTATTTGGCCCCCTGTCGATGAGCAGGGTGTGACTTGGGAAAAAAGGACAAGAGAAGACGCTCCGAAACAGTGCACCCTCCGGCAATCATGGCCAGCTGGAAATTTCTCCATTTAACCGTGATAAAAACCCAGCCATAACTGGTTGGTGGTTTGGAACATGACTTTTATTTTTCCGTTCAGTTCATTCAGTTGGGAATGTCATCATCCCAACTGACGAACTCCATCATTTTTCAGAGGGGTTGGCTCAATCACCAACCAGATAATGTTCCATTGAGCTCGACGCTTTCCAAGCCATGTAACTTGGACACCGGGTGACCAAATTACTAGATCCAAAGATCAGCTGGACCCCAGTCTTGTTGTAGATCTCTCCATTTTTGCCGCTGATGTGATCCATTGCCATATTTTTATGTTGGTTTACACAATCAATCTTATCCTCATGTTTGACTCATAGTTCCTCATTTTTGACTCATAGTTCCATTTTAGTTTCTTGCCAGTGATTTTATGTTAAAACATGTCTGCCCGGACGTTTCTCCATATCCACAAAACACACCCGGACAGTACCATAGACTTGTCACAAGTTTGGTTGCTATCTAGAAATGCCAGAATTTTTTCTAGAGAAGTACCAAATAAGCATCCATAAGCAACCATCTCCATATTCCATGAGACCATCAGCAACCATTAACATGGTTTTACCATGTTTTACCATGACAGTACCAAATTTTGCCGCTTTCATCTCCATATTTCCAAATCAACGATCCCTATGGCCCTAAAAATCGCAGGACCGTTGTTTGGGCCTGGATCTTGATGAGTGTCTTGGCATTTTTCCACGCGGCCATGGAGGTTTTTTTTAAAGCGAACATCAATGGAAGATCCACGATCAATGGAGGTCTTGAACATCTTCGGAACACGTGAGTTACACGTAAAATCATGTTTTTTGTTTTTGTCCGAAAAAATCGGGGTAGCCTCCAAAGCATCTGATCAAAATCTTGGCAGGAAAAAGGCCTTTTCAATGGGCTAAAATTGGTTTTGTTAGTTTTCTGCATTTAAACATTTTAAAACACTGCTATTTTCCATGACATTCCAATGGTTGATCCTAGTGGATGAAATTCGGTTTGGTCCCTAGACGTTGCTTCAAAGTCTGCAGCGAGTCGTGGATGATGATCCCCATTTGGGATGATCGCAAGGGTTGGGTTGAAGCTTGCGATCCTTGTTTCAGCAACATACATGTACATTTTTGTATATGAGAATCCTTTTTTATCCTTTTTTGGTTTCCGATATTTTCCGGCAAGTCACTTTGTCAAGTGACTCATGGCCATGGCTGGAAAATCCACTGCATCGTGCGAGCGATGGTTTCAGGCATCTGCATCATCATTAATTTTCTGATCTAACACTAAGAATGAGTTATAAGATATTACATAACAGTTATTATCCATATATCATTATATTAGAACATATCTAACATTATATTAGAACAATGGTTATAACATATCATAACCATTAATATCATCCAAACAGTCATTACAAGAATGATCGGCCCAAAAGATTTAAGAGCTGCGTCCCGTCTCCGAGATCAGGGGGGGTCAACATTAAAAGAATATATATATTCTACAACATTCTATATATTAGTCTATCTATCTATGTAATTCTCTATCTATCTATCTATCTATCTATCTATGTAATTCTCTATCTCTCTATCTATCTATCTATCTATCTATCTATCTATCTATCTCTATCTATCTAATTCTCTATCTATCTAATAATCTCTCTATCTATCTATGTAATTCTCTATCTATCTATGTAATCTCTCTATCTAATCTCTATCTATTAATTCTCTATCTATCTATGTAATTCTCTATCTATCTAATTCTCTATCTATCTAATTCTCTATCTATCTAATTCTCTATCTATCTAATTCTCTATCTATCTAATTCTCTATCTATCTAATTCTCTATCTATCTATCTATCTATGTAATTCTCTATCTATCTAATTCTCTATATCTAATTCTCTATCTATCTATCTATGTAATTCTCTATCTATCTATCTCTCTATCTATCTATCTATGTAATTCTCTATCTATCTATCTATCTATCTATCTATCTATGTAATTCTCTATCTATCTAAATATCTATCTATCTATCTATCTATCTATCTATCTATGTAATTCTCTATCTATGTAATTCTCTATCTATCTATCTATCTATCTATCTATCTATCTATCTATCTATCTATCTATCTATCTATCTATGTAATTCTCTATCTATCTATCTATCTATGTAATTCTCTATCTATCTATATATCTATCTATCTATCTATCTATCTATGTAATTCTCTATCTATCTATCTATCTATCTATGTAATTCTCTATCTATGTAATTCTCTATCTATGTAATTCTCTATCTATGTAATTCTCTATCTATGTAATTCTCTATCTATGTAATTCTCTATCTATGTAATTCTCTATCTATCTATATATCTATCTATCTATCTATCTATCCATCTATCCATCTATCTATCTATCTATCCATCTATCCATCTATCCATCTATCCATCTATCCATCTATCCATCTATCCATCTATCCATCCATCTATCCATCTATCCATCCATCCATCTATCCATCTATCCATCTATCCATCTATCCATCTATCCATCTATCCATCTATCCATCTATCCATCTACCCATCCCATCTATCCATCTATCCATCTATCCATCTATCCATCTATCCATCTATCCATCTATCCATCTATCCATCTATCCATCTATCCATCTATCCATCTATCCATCTATCCATCTATCCATCTATCCATCTATCTATCTATCCATCTATCCATCTATCCATCTATCCATATATATATATTATGCATTATATATATATACATATATAATAATCCTAACAGTCATCAGCACCACCCCCCCTAACACTCCTCAGATCGGAATCTCATGGCGATCGGGGGCAGGTCTCATCATCTACGTCTTTGGGTTGGTCTTCTACCGGGCACTGAAGCCTGACCTTTGCACTGCAGGTCGAAATTTCAGGTTTTTTGTGGGGACATGGTGGGTTTTTCCAGCGAAAATTGATGACATTTTCTGTTGAACGTATTAAAGTATCACTAGAGTCTAGAGATGTCTAGAGTATGTAGCAGAAATTAGATCCTTTTGTTCTTGAACTCTTTCGCAACTGCAGCCTGACTGGAAGCTATTTTTGTAATGATATTTTAATGAGCATTGCATGCATTTTGACGAGCCTGCCACTACCAGGACTACCAGGCTAAAGACATCAAACAAGGAAGTTCTTTACCCTCAAACGTCACAGTTTAAGCACAATTCAGTGCACCATTTCAGATGATGTTAAAGCCCTTCTGGGAGGAAATATGAACAACATATGAGAACACACTTGTTTTTTCTATAAGTTTCGATTTCTTCTCACCATTGAAATGGTCATCCCTGATGGTGACCTGGTTCCAGGTAGCGCAGAGGAAGATCTAATGCTGGGGACGTACTTTGGGACCTTGTCTCTTTCAGTGCGCGGGGCTCGGTGGTGCCGCGCAACGTGGAGGTTCTCCAAGGCTGTGGAACAGACCTTGTGCATCTGGAAAACAAGTCGAAAGTGAAACATCCAGTTTTTTAGTTCATGGATTTTGATCGATTTTCTGAAACTGGCTATTGGATGCAACTGGCTTGTTCTTACCAAAGTCCTGGAGTTGGGCAAAATATGTGGAGTTTGAATTGTCCCTGGGAAGACGGTTATAGCAGTTCGTGCCTACTCGAGTTGCCAAAAGCTCTTTTTGTGAGTTGCAAGATAGTTATCCAACTGTACCTATATCTACGAGAATCTGGTATATATTGCAAAAACATGTGGGATACCTGACATATATATATAATATATATATATATAATATAATATATATATATATATACATGACATATATATATATATAATAGCCCACATAATATGTGGGTTCTATTCTCACCCATCCAACTGTGGATATATCCACATCAAACATGTAGATATACCTATCCATTTACGATTGATGATATTCTCATGATTTGACTCCATTTTGTTGATGATATCTCCATGATGACTTGTGACAGCAGACAGCATCATTTTTTCCCACTTTGCCGGAGTGCCCCAAAAGACATCAACCTGTTTTTCCAGGATGATTGTATAGTATATCTTTACTTCACATATATATATTATACATATATATATATATATATATTATACACATATATATAATACATATATATATATATTATATATTATATATTATATATATTCATATTATACATATATATATATTATATATATATTATACACACACATATATATATATATATATTATACATATATGTATATATATATATATTATACATATATATATACACGCATAATTATACATATATACACATAACTTCCAGGTTTACACCTTTTTTTGGGTTCGCTGTGATAGTTCCTTCTTTTTTGAGAACCCGGCTAAACCTTACAATGTGACGCTCTCAGGCTGGTTAGTTGGTTCCTGTTCACCCATCTAAGTGAAATATATCGACCATATGTAAATCCAAGCGTTGCAGATTGGAGGCACTCAATTATTGGATCTTGTTGGTTATATACGGTAGTATTCCCATCCCAAGTGTTGTTGATGATATCCCATGATTAAACCTTACCATTGCTGGTAATTTAGCATAGCTATGAACAATCAACATTTTTAATAGTAAAACATCTATTTTCATGGGCCTTCATGGGCCATCTAATCATTTAATCCTGTTTGCAGAGTCTTCACCATTGAGGGTAACAGGGATCAGTTTCCTGAAGTGGAACCGAACCACATCTGAGGTTCACTGTTTTTCAGATCACCACCCTAGAGGCCTCTGCGAATTTGGGATGGGCAAACCTCTCGACTATTTGGGAGAAAAGCCATGAGGAAAACCCGGGGGAAAATATGGTAACATGATATGCGATATACTTTACCCTCCGGTTATTTAACATAGCCATGGGAAATGGCCCATTTATAGATGGTTTACCTATTAAAAATGGTGATTTTCCATGGCAAAATGTTAGTCATAACCAGATGGTAATAGTGGTCCACATTGTATGTTGATTTACACATCTGACTTTCTGGACATTTAGTGGAACACCCCCAGTTGCCTCAAGATCCAACATTTGGCTAACTGTGATGATGTATAATTATGTATACGTAGTCATACTGGAGATAGTGATAAAATATGGATGTTCCAAGAAAAACAGAAACAGTGGGAACATTATTGTACAGTAAATCCCATACATATACATATATATATATATCCATAATAATACGCTACTGAGTGGTAATATGTTTTATTCCCCTACGGTTTTTGGGGATCTCCTGCGGGTATCTCAGAAAAGTTGTATCTGTTAGTAGCTGCAACTTTCGTGGGGGTCTGCAAAGTGGGCCCCCGTAGACAGGATAGCTAAGTTGGGAGCCACATAACTCCAGAAACTACGGTTTATAGCAATGAAAAAACTCTGCATAGTGGGCCCCCCAAACGATAGCTAAGTTGGTTACAACTCCAATATCTACTAGAGTTTATGATATTTTTGGTTATAACTATACTTAGATTATAAAGCAACTTGTAACTATGGGCCCCGCATTGTAGAATTCATGGCTTGAATTTAGGGCGCAACATTCACATCACTGGGCCGACCTTACATATAATCAACTGGTTTGTAATATGGTTATTACTCCCTTCCAACCCAATTATGTGCATACTATGTATACACATTCTATGTGGTTTACTCATTGGTGCTATTCGTCCCCCTGCTTTCCCTTTACCAAGAACTGTGGAGCTTTTTCAAGCATGGTGGACCATTAATTTTAGCCATTCAGATTTGGCCGCGTATTGGGAAAACATGGCCGGAATCCCAATCATTACCCCGGGAGCCCGTGCGGCTCTATTCCATTTTTTGCGGAGTCTAATGTAGCCAATGAGAGAAGCTCAGCGAATGAAGGCGATGAAGGCAGTGAAAGCAATGAACGCAGTGTTTATCGTTCCCAGGCAATCAAGGCGATCAAGGCGATGAAGACACCCTTAAAACTTGTTGATGTTTTCTTCATGTTTTGCTTAGCCTGAAAGCTGAGATGCTCCTTGGTTTGCAGTTTGGTGGCTCTAAGCCTTCCTCAGGTTTAGGCTAGCGCTTAAGGCCCTTGAGGGCCGCACATCGGTGGGCTTGAGGAAAAATGGATGGATGAATTCTCTGTGAAAATACCGCGGCAAAGAGATCCGGGTGAATCTGAACGTTCAGACAGCTTCAGTGACGCTTACGGCCTTTGACGACTTGCAACTTTCAACTTGCAATTTTCAACCTTCATCTTTCGATACAGTTGTTTGATCAATACGATTATTTGTGATTGCGTTCTTGTGTCCTACAGCGATTCTTGAACAGGTCCCCTCACGCTTGGTTGTCAAATACATTTCTGGCAGATATGACTTTTGAAAATCAATGCTTGGCAAGTTTGGTGATGATTTGGGGTTCGGGCATAGTTCAAGTAGGAGAATCCGCGGAAGCCACGACGGCGGATTTATTAGGAGACATGTGGATGTCTGCTCGGTTGTCTCTGTCGAATGCGTTGCCACCCAAGCAGTTGCTGCGCAGAATCCAATCCATGCAAGCGGCATTACTGGTGATGCTTTTTCCTGATCATATAAGAACACACAAGCATAGCTGGAGGATTTGGTTGGTTTTAGCTTCAGTCATGACAATACAAGGAATCTTGCATCTACGTATGAATTCTCATTTTCCATGGGTTCAGCGCGTGGCTCACATAGCAGTGGAACCGATTCGACGTATCCTTCGAGAAACGCATTTGACGGATGAGGTTATTTTGACAGCTTTGTCCTTTCTTAGACAAGGACTCGAAGGTCAAGGGGCTGAGGACGAAGCTTGTGTCTATTCACTCTTCAACAGCCACTCCTGGTATATTGGAAAGGCGCTTCTGCAAAGACGGAATCATGCCCTGGGCCTCCCAAGCCGCATTATGGAACATTTGCTTTCGATCTTGAGGCGTGATGCGCAAGCTTCACGTTCAACTCGGGCAGTTCTTTTACGCCAGCGTCCTGCTCATACTTTGGGGTTCATTCTGATCAAGCGCGGCGCCCACGACTGGATTCGGGTTTCTGAAACAGTAGCAATTCGGGCGTTGCGGCCTCCTGGCAACAAAGGTCAATGTAGATCCACCAGGTCCAAGAACCGACCGAGACGTCGCAATCGTCCGCCTCCTCGATTTCGGCAGGGGCGCCGCCAATCATGTTTCTGGAGCTCTGTGGTATGTGTCCAGCAGTTGGTGAGCAAGTGCAGGAGAAAAGAGGCATGTCCTTTTGGGAATTTGGGACCTTCCTGGTCGGTCCAAACTTTCAAAGAAGCTTACCGACAGAAGCAACAAGCCTTTTTTGCAAAAACTGGGAAGTTAGGCCCAATTTCTATTTTTTCACCACATCAGGGCGGGTTGCTGGCCCTGTGGGCATGCACGAAGCATTCACATGTGGATTCGCGACTGCTTGTGGCGCGCACGCGGCCGGCAACAGCCGTCTTGCGCCTAGCTGCTTTGGTTTCTCTAGTGCAGGGCTATGTTCGACAGTGCAATGGCTTCCAAAAAGTTGACAGACTCCTGAGGCAGTTCCGGCTTCCTCCTAGGCGCATGCGCTGGATCAAATGCCCAGATGCGGGGGCCATGCGGCAGGCTCAGGCAGCTGTGCGAAGAGCAGCGAGCTATCTTGCGTCGATACATGGGGCGTTTGTTTTCCATTGGGTTTTGGCCAGGGTCAAGTTCTGCAGTGGTTCCATTCCTCGTTTCCTGGACAGACGCAATGCAGCTGAGCAATCCAAGCGAATCACAGTTTCATCTGTATGGCATCAAGGCTGTCTTGAGATTGAGCACCACAGAAGAGGGGAAGGTGTTAGAAGGCTTCCTGGCAATTGGTCTATCCAAGATCGGGAAGCACTACACAAGTCCCACAAGAACTTGCAACAAGATATGCATGCATGGCTGCGTGATCACCATGTCCCTCGCCGCATTGGACGGCACTGCTGGCGGCAATCAAGGATTCCTCAGTTCCCTGAGCAGGAGCAACCAGCAGCAGAAAGCGACTATATTTTTGGCATGACACAACACCAAAACGAAGTGCTTCTTCAGGATGATAAAGACAAGAAGGCCACATGGACGATGTCCTTTGCATGCTTGTCAGCCATTTTCATGAGCTTAGTCTTGCTGGATCCACAATGGGAAGTGACAACAATGTCCCCTGCTAGTCTTAGTGTCTTGGTGCATGGCGTATCTTTGTTCGCAATCCCGGCATTTATGCGGAAGGGGCCTCTACATAAGGGTTCATACGCTCCATACATGTACCCGTTTGTCAAAGCCAAATGCTTTTCGGCAACAGGAGGCCACACATGCAGCAAAGCGAACCACAGCTGTTTGCGGAAAGTAGTTTCGTTTTTCAAATCACCTTGGAGGCGTGCATGGAGGCAGGCAGGAAGAGCTATTCAAGTTCTCATCTCATTGACAGGGGATGGTTTTTCAGTTTGGCAGCTTAAGCAAATCATTCCAACTTTTCGAGCCCGCATGGCAAAGCTTCGGGTTTCCCAGCAGCCTGGCCAGTGCATCATGTGTGGAAAGTGTAAGCCTTTTACATCACTTTTGATTGCTGATGCAGCGCAGATGTACGAGCAAATCAATACAATTTTAGTTCTGGAGGCCTTTGACGCTAAGGCTGCTACACTGAGAAGCGAGAAAGGAGCTGATGCAATTACAGTGGCAAAAGCGCGTTTGGTCAAGGGTTGGCCTGGTGGCTCAGAACACGCGCGGTCTCGCGCATGTATCACCTTTCCACTCTGGCGTTTGCGGCGCATGTTGCAGGCTAGCTGCTTTTTGAGGTTTGCAAGTGTCGGTGATCTGGTGGTGGCAGCAAAAGGCCTTATGATTGGAGGCTTGCTTTCAATGATCGCAGCGGTATGTTTGCTAAGCCATGAGGAGGAGCAATTTCTTCAGCGTGCCAACGATCGAATAATCAACTTTCCGGAGGGATGGAAGGTGGAGGAACTGTTTTTTGGGATGAGATATGTAGATGACCTGTTGATGGTCTCATATGCGATATGCCACAAGTGTTTGCAACAAATGTTAGCAGAAATTTATTCTGTCCAATTTTCTGTCAACACGGAAGAATGTGAGCAAACCTTTACGGATGTGATTTTTCAGGTTGACCCAATTTGTGGAGCTATTACATGGACAGCGAAGAATCCCAACAGACCATGGCTGCTAGGCACTGGAGATAAGGGGAAGCAGCGCCGGGTCCCTTATCTCGACCGCCTACAATGCCCTTTTGGGCTTCTCAGAGGGCTGCTGCTAAGCCGAGCAGCTCGACTAAACGAACTTGAGCTGACCGAGAAATTGCAGACAGCTTGCATGATTGAAGAGATCCAAGAACTCATTTTGGAAGGATATCCTATAAGTCTGTTGCGTGCTCTTGTACACTCATTACCATTCCAGAGCACTGTGTTTCTTAATCTCAGAATAGCTGTTAGAACCCTGCTACGTCGGCAAGGAAATTGAGGGCTAAGCTGTTTGTTGTTACATGGATAATGGGTTTCTTTATTTTGCTTACTGCAACTTCTTATGGACCATCCGTTTGTTGAATAAGCCTGGCTGTTTTCCTTTGACATGGCGGTTCTGCACGCGAAGTTGGACTTCCTAGCCAGATAATTTCCGGATCAGGCCCAGTCTGGGTTACTTCACTATATATCCAGAATTTGTTTTTTTTCAGGGGTGAACTGGTTTCGCTCTTGTCCAACTTACCAGGTGGCCCTAGTTAATCTTTGTTAGATTTTGGCTGAGCTGTAGCGCAATAGCATTTGCCAACTGCCAGCAGCATGAAGCCTGCTGTGCGGGTTTTGGTGTTTTTGTGCCTGTTGGGTGGCTCATGGCTAGCGGAAGCGGCCGTCATGGGCAGAAAGAGACCAGCAAGGGGCAGTGGGGCCGCAAAGGTGACGGCCGCTATTCTGACAGAGATTCCCATCACCGCCACAGTTTTGATTATTATGCCAGAACGGATTCGCGGACCCACTCCCGAGGCCGGCGTCGGCGTAGATCAAAGTCGGATTCTCGCTCTCCTGCCCGAAGCAAAAAGCCCAGTGAGCCTGCGTGCAAAGATTCTCCCGGATATATCGAATATAAGCGTCAAAAGCAGGAGACTCTTGCTTGGCAAGAGCGACACCTTCAAGCTCAAGCTTTGGCATTGTGTTTGGAAGAGCGGGAGAAGAAAAAAAAGGCAGAGCAGGCGGCCATAGGGCTCAATCCTCCAGTCCAGCAGCCTGCTGCTGATGTGAGTGCTCCACTAGCTCAAAGCTCAGTTCCCCATTTGCCTACTAGACCCAGTGTCCCGAGCCATGGCCCTGACTCTGAAAAGAATCCTGATGAGAATCAAATTCCTGTTGCTATCTTGAAGTTGTTGGAAGCAGAGTTGGGTCATTCTGTGAGTTTTGGAAATAAACCGCTCACAGAAAAAGCTGTTGAGACGCGTTTGGCGTCCGCCAAGCCTCCAGCCAAGAGCCTATATTCCTTTATCGTTCGATATGGGAACGGGAAAGCTCCACCAACCCGAAATGTTGCCAAAGCCAAGCTGGTGGCATCCATTGTGAAAGAGCTCAAGTTCTGATCTTTTTGGTTAATTATTGGGGTGTGGGTTTTTGGGGTTCTATGTGGTTTACTCATTGGTGCTATTCGTCCCCCTGCTTTCCCTTTACCAAGAACTGTGGAGCTTTTTCAAGCATGGTGGACCATTAATTTTAGCCATTCAGATTTGGCCGCGTATTGGGAAAACATGGCCGGAATCCCAATCATTACCCCGGGAGCCCGTGCGGCTCTATTCCATTTTTTGCGGAGTCTAATGTAGCCAATGAGAGAAGCTCAGCGAATGAAGGCGATGAAGGCAGTGAAAGCAATGAACGCAGTGTTTATCGTTCCCAGGCAATCAAGGCGATCAAGGCGATGAAGACACCCTTAAAACTTGTTGATGTTTTCTTCATGTTTTGCTTAGCCTGAAAGCTGAGATGCTCCTTGGTTTGCAGTTTGGTGGCTCTAAGCCTTCCTCAGGTTTAGGCTAGCGCTTAAGGCCCTTGAGGGCCGCACATCGGTGGGCTTGAGGAAAAATGGATGGATGAATTCTCTGTGTGTATATATAATATGATATATGATATATGATATATGATATATATATATATATACACATATGTATTATATGTATATACATGTACCCGGAATATTCCCAGCTACAGATGGGTCATATATATATAATATCGGACATGGGTTGTAAAACCCACACTTGGAATAACTTTGGGATGCACCTCCCATTTCCCGAGCCAGGATTGGCCGAACATCTCGGACGTCATGGCCAAATACCAGGAGTGGGGGAGCCTAAGTCTATGAAGATGCTGGTTTTAATGGGAAAACCCATGAAAAATCATGGAAACATATGGGACATCCCCTGATACATGGTGATTTGATGGGAAAATAAATTATAACTGTGGTGTTTTCCATTGCCATGGTTGATTACCGGAGTGGAATCTGAGTTCTTATTCCTTTATCCCGTGGTGTTGCCGGAGGGAAGGGAGCTGTTGGGCTATCCATATGAAAAACTGGGAGCCGTTGGGATACCAGACATTTCACGACCTTTTGTGATAGGAAACAAGATGAAACAAGAATTCTGAAAATCTTCGAAGTCGGCTTTTGGGAAGATGGGTGAGTTTCAAAAATCGCTGTGGGGGATTTAGATGGATTGAACCTGATTGAACCTATCAGTTCGTATCTGGGGACGGCACAACGTAGCTCCGTTGTGAGAACCGTTGTGAGATTGCAAATTTATAGATGGTCCAGGGCGGTTTTTTTGATAAATCATACCGTTTGTTTTTTTTGAGGACCTAAATTTGAGTTCAAAGCCAAAAGAACTCACAGAATTTAGGTCCTTTGGTCCTTTTGATTTAAGCATTTTGATCCATTGTGATCTTTTTTTGGTCTGGACCAAAAAAAACCGTTCTAGCTTGGCTTCATTCACCAGACGCTTCCTGAAAGTTCGATGGGCGACCGGCTGGACTTCTATCTTTGATCCGAGTGGACCAGAATGTGGTGTGTTTTTTTGGGACCAGCCATACGACTGGATGACGGTAAGATGCTTATGTTTGTATCAAATATGATATGATATATGTATATATATATTATATAGATTATATATAGATTATATATAGATTATATACAGATTATATATAGATTAAATATAGATTATATATAGATTATACATATAGATTATATATATAGATTATACATATATATAGATTATATATATATAGATTATATATAGAGATTATATATAGAGATTATATATAGATTATATATAGATTATATATAGATTATATATAGATTATATATAGATTATATAGATTATATATATAGATTATATATAGAGATTATATATAGAGATTATATATAGATTATATATAGATTATATATAGAGATTAAAGAGATTATATATAGATTATATATAGAGATTATATATAGATTATATATAGAGATTATATATAGATTATATAGATATATAGATTATATATAGAGATTATATATATATATAGAGACTATATATAGATTATATAGATATATAGATTATATATAGATTATATATATATTATATATAGATTATATATAGATTATATATAGATTATATATATTATATATATTATATATATAGTATATATATATAGTTTATATATATAGTTTATATATATATATAGTTTATTTATATATATAGATTATATATATTATATATATATGGATTATATATATAGATTATATATATATTTATATAGATTATATATATAGATTATATATAGATTATATATCTAGATTATGTATATATATATATATGTAGATTATATATATATATGTAGATTATGTGTATATATATATATATATATTATAGAGATTTTATACATATTTTCTTGTTCATTCCAGCACTTTTTTGTTCAAACGACCAGAACTGTTGGGCAAATCCCACATTCTTTCGGGCCATAGTTCTCTTAGGTTGGCTATATTCACATCTAGGTTGGTTCTTCCCACACATTTGTTTCTGAAGTACGTACCCTCTGGAACTTGGATCTGTTCAGCCAAAATGGAGATATTAGGCCGTAATTAATGACTTGGCTGCTTACCCTCTGGTAAACATACAAAAAACTATAGAAAATCACAATTTTTAATGGGAAAATCCACTATAATTGGCAATTTTCAATAGCTATGTTAAATTGCCAGAGGGTAAATCCATGTGCTCACGTTAAGGCTCCAGGATAGGTATTTTTGCATTCCGGATTCTGTTTTCCCATGCCCCAATGATATCCTATTGTTTTAGTGATGTTTGTTGGGCAACACCTGAAATTTTGAGGAACCCCGTGAAATGGCTTGTAAAAAAAAGCCATGGTTTCTGGTGAAGACGTGACGATTTTCCCATTAAAAAAACCCGTTTTTTTCCTTGGTGTCGCCAGAGGTGGCTCACTGTGATGGTGATCTTGTTGCTCCTTCTGACCGCCTACGGTCGGCTGAGCATACCCGGGGGGGATCAGCCAGTGAGGAAACATATCCGGCCTGGTAAACCTACAAAAAGCTATTGAACATGGCCATTTAGATCCATTTAGTTCGTTGATTTACCTATTAGAAATGGTGATTTTCCATAGCAAAATGTTACCGGAGGGTAATTATACTGTAACACCCATAAATTAGATGACAGTAAGCCACTTGAGGGACTTAGTAACTATAGTAGCCAGCAAAAATGACTAACCACTTACCAGTGATGATCCTTACTTAGTCGAAATAGGAAAACGAAAATGGCGGTCAAAAACCATGGTGGCCTTAGCCTACCCTTAGCAAACTCTTGGAGTTAGCAGCTCCGATCTGGTTCCGGAAACGATTTTTTCATCCTGGAGGATCCACATTTCATATATCCTGGAGGTGTAAAGATCAATATGTTTTGATATATGATATGTTTTTAATCACTATGTATCAGATCTATATATGTGATCTATAAAAATAAACACAATTTATAGTATATACTATACATGATATATGATATCAGATCTATATATGTAATTAGTATAGTATAATCTGACCCATTCTCCGATCACTATCTAATGGCACCACCAAATCATCGGAGAATCAGCAGCTTTGTTGTTGTGACAGGTGTGATGAATGTCACCGTGGCGATCTTTGTGAACAGCGCCATGGATGCGGGGGGACTTAGGATTCTCGGTTTCCATAGTCATGGAGATACCCCCATAGCTGGATGTTTTTTTTTAAATGGAAAATCCCAAACAAAAATGGATGATAACTAGGGGGACCCCCGTTTCAGGAAACCTTCAAATGCTTGAGATGACAGGCTTTCAAGCAGCCCCTTAAAAAATGGTTGCCCTCTGGTAAATTGACAGGTCGACCCTGAAAATCACCATTTTTGAGTGGAAACGAATCTTCCAACCCCCTATCTGGCCAGGGTTTTGTTCATTTACTGGAGTACATTATAGATTGTCTATTGTGAATACGGACATAGACGGACATATACATACAGATAGATACATAGTAGATATATGTATATATATATACATATTGGGACAGCGTGGAAATCTATATTATACAGGAAATACTTCAGCCAGCTATTGGGCTTCTGGAACCCTGGGAAGAACATCTAAAATTGTCCATTCTGGTTGCATTTTTGGGACACTGAAACCAGACCAGCAAGTCTGGTTTGAGCTAACACCCTGAAACGTTGCCATTCTGGTAAGTGATAAGTTGGACAAGGAGCCGTGTCCCCAAAATACACCCTGCAATGCCGTATCCATACACTATACACTCCTCTGATTGACTTTGTTAGTTGGGTTGGCAGTACCATCTATATAAGTCAATGTGTGGCACCGGCATTACAGTGGCCTGTATCTCAACTTTTTGCTGCATATTTGGGTGCGCATCCCAGATAGTAAGCCATATTATATCATATCATATAATATAATATAATATAATGTAATATGATATAATATAATATAATGTAATATGATATAATATAATATATTATATTATATCATATTATATCATTTTTATATCCATTTAATAGCCGTATTTTGAGCCATATTATAGACCTCTTGTATATTATAGTTTATATACGGGTTATACACCGCTAGCACTCGAATGGAGCCAGATGATTTCTGCTTACTCAGATCGTGCTCTCGGGCGTATGCTTCCATTCTACCTATTGATTTCCCAGTGTTGATGGTTGCATAATCTTGAACATAGACCCTGAAAATGACAATTTTTTAGTGGAAACTAATCTTCCAACCCCCATTTGCCAGGGTCTATGGTCATTTACTGGAGGGTCGTGTATTTTTTCCCAGCTTTGCTGTTGACCATCCATTTTAGTAGGTCACCTACTGAGGCCTCCTCAGTTCGTTCTAGGGACATCGCGAAGAAAGCCAAGGTCTTGGTGAATTTCTTGGGGGAAAGCAATTTCTGTGATATTGTGATATCGGGGATAGGATGAGGTAACCAACTTATACTGACTGGAAAAAGTTTGTAACAATAAGTTTAACCAACCAGATATTATACCAACCAGATTTACGATACCAGAAAAATTATCTGATTGGTGATTTGGAACATGAATTTTATGACTTTCCATATATTGGGAATTTCATCATACCAACTGACGAACTCATATTTAATCAGAGGGGTGGCTCAACCACCAACCAGTATATAAATCACATTTTTTTTTTGGGGATTTGGCTGTCTCAAAATCTTCGTACACTCTCTGAACATCGATGGGATTTGTGGATGTTCATCGGTAGCCATCCCCATTTCACAAATGCCATCCAGCCTGAGGATTTTTTCGTCAACAAACACATGCAAAGGGGGGCCCAAGTTGGATAGGTTTCTCTTGGTCTATATCTAGGCGAACGAATGCGAACCATTGGGCTTATGGTGGATATCAAACTAGATGTAGTAGCCAACACATAACTGCGGGGCCCTCCCTGTGGGCATTCACCAAAAAAAACCATGGGATTCAAACGATTCAAGCAAGAAAAAGAGGCCAAAATGGATGTTTCATGGCTGATTTTGTCATCCTAAATGGATGTTTCACCAGCAGCTCCAGCACAAATGGAATACTTTATAGGTAACACCATGGCAACACCTCCATTGAATTCTCGCCAGGAAGAAGGAGAAGCTACTTGCAAGTCGCTTCAACAGGCCATGAGAAAATGTCGTAAGCCGATGCGGGGTTGTTTGAAAGACATGTGGCAAAATCATGCAAAATCCTCAAATCCGGCATTTCGTTTTATCATTTTTGCCAGGAAAGTGTAGTCACATGGCCCCATTTCTGGTCAAAGCCATGTAGGCCATGCAGTTTCCCCCAAAGTTGATCCTCTGACGTAGAAACCAGATCCCGTAACTGAAATCTGCAGGAACTCCAGCATTTTTGATGGTGTTTTCAGAAGGGTTTCCTATACTGCCAGCCTACTGTAGATTTTCCCTTCAACCCATCCAAGTGTCGGTTTGGACACCGAGAACTTTGATCAAATGGGAGCATCTTAGTGAGTGCAAATCTCCACATTTCCAGGGTAGACCTGGACGGTGTTTGACGAAGGTTTTCATGGACGCGGATAACGATGGCAACGGGACCCTGTCCAAGGAGGAGTTTGAAAAGGCTGGACCTGTTGGACCTGTTCGACCCGTTGGACCTGTCTGAAAATGGGGGATGGAGCTATTCTCACCACTGGATGGAATGGGGTTGGTGAACCAACCCATGTTTTTCATTGTTTTTCTGTAGGGCCGCGTCATTTGTAAGGCGCCCCCCAGACAGAAATGAGTCCCTGCAAAATAATTGCCATGGTTTGTTCTTGAAACTCAGACTCGTTTTCAACAGATTTTTGTGTTTCTTTTCTGTGTTGGATCTTCTTTTGTAATATGGCTGTGTCTGGCAATGGGGCCAAACGGGGTATAGTGGTATAGCATGATATAGCCCCATTCAATGTCACTTTGAGTCCAGGAGGCTTATGTTCTGAAGCAGTGGATTTAGGCGATTTTCCACAATTTTCCCTACGATGGCCACAGCTGGGGGCCATATCACCATGGGGCGCGTTAAAAATCTTAGACCCAGGAAGATTTACATGGCAAAGAGGCCATATGAAAAACAGAAAATATCGTTTCTACATTGATCTCTGTATATGTATATGTGTATACGTATAGTGTATGTATATGTATACATGTACACACACACATATATATGATTATAATTGATTATATATGTCTGCATACATACATATAGAATCTTATATATGTCTGTATACATACATATATAATCATATATAGATGTATGTATATATACATATATATAGATAATACACACACATATATATATATGCACATATATAATCATATATATATACTACATACACCAAATATGTATCCTAACAATTATCGCCCAAGTTGTACGTGGAATATCCCCGGAGGTACCCTGCAAGTTTTCAGGCCGTGGTTTGGGGTGATATTCCCACCGTACGAAGCCATACTCGCATGTAATGTAGGCTTTTACACTCCTTTATGGGCCTTACATATGGTAGGTACCCCATTTTTTCATATTTTTTCCAGATATATGCACAGTTACATTGGCTTTACATTTTGAGGATCTCCCACTTTAGGTGCCTTTAGGTGATCATAACCATGGAAATGGCTATGTTTAATAGGCAGATAATCTACGGGTGGGTTATTTTCCATGGCGATGTTGGTTACATCCCTATTAAATAAATCCCCATTAAGACAACACAATGTTTTGGTCACAGTTAGAAAATTACTTACCCTCAATTTTCAGACAACCAATTGGAGATTGTTGGGCATATCCCCATCATATCCTCATTTTTTTTCGTCAAATTACCAGAGGGTACAGCAATGGCAACCCATCGCCAATCCCTCAGGCAATCAGCGAGAAGAACTTGCTGGGCCGTTTGCACAGCGCTGGCATTGATGTGTTTGGAAGCCCAAAGATGCCAAACAAATGGGGATACTTCACCGACAGAAATGAAGATATTTAACCAACAGAAACAGGGATATTTACCCAACGGAAATGAGGATATCACCATCACAATATGGAGATAACCATCAATAGGGGGATACCACCATCAAAATGGGGATGTATCAATCGAAATATCGGGATTATATATACAACATTATACAACCATCATTAATTTGGGATTGATATCACCTGCAAACCATGGCATAAACCATGCAATGGCCAGATATAAATGGGGATGATAACCACGGGTATTTTACCAGCCAAAAGATGGGGAAATGACGTAGCAATTCTGCTGGGATCTCAGCAGCATTTTTAAGCACCTGGCACCCGCTTTTTGACCAATGGGGAGATTCCATGATGGCAAAACGATGTGATTTTTAGACATGCGACACAGTCATTTATGCCATGTCTGAATTCAACGGCAGATTAAAATCCCCAAATGGTGAATTGCCATATCGAGATGGTACCCTCTGGTAATTTAACATAGCTATGGAAAATCACCATGCTATTAATGGGAAAATCCACTATTTCTATGGCCATTTTCAATAGCTTTTTGTATGTTTACCAGAGGGTAAATCAGATGGTAAATCACTATCATCCAAAGCCTCCAGTCATGGTGATTTCCTAGCCGTTTTTGGACCCGGACACGGTGAATGGATGCGAATGGTGGGTTCACAGGTCGATGATTTGTAGCTGCAAATGAGTACATTTCCCGGCCCGATATCATGGGATTTAATGTAGATATACTATGATATACTTGGATCTAATGCAGATCATATATGGCATACTGGATTTCATGTAGATAATATGTTGGGATTTAACGTAGATATTATACTGGGATATAATGTAGATAACATATGTTTTTTTTTTTTCATTCTTCTATATATATATATATATGGAGATATAAAATCATATACCATCCCCAAAATTAACCTAGACCTGGCCAAATAGGGGGTTGGAAGACTTGTTTCCACGAACAACTGGCTGTTTTCAGGGTCTATGTTAAATAACCAGATTCATCATATGGAGGTTTCCTAAAATAGGGGTAGCCCTAGTTATCATCCAGCTATTAGTTTGGGATTTCCCATTATAAACCATCCAGCTATTGGGGTACCATTTATGGAAACCTTGATATGAAGAGAAATGGTCAGGACCTGCAGGACCTGTGACCTCTTTGATTTCAGAAAAATCGGCTGAGGGAAAGCGCCGCCCAGCTCTTTGATATCCTGGACCTGGATGGCAGTGGCACTTTAGATGGTCGGCTGCCAAGTTGTTTCGACATGAGGAGAAACTGAGTCTGTCACAGATGGAGATGGAATTTGAAATCAGAATGACCTGATAATAGCTCTGGTAATTTAACATAGCTATGGAAAGATCCACCATGCTATTCATGGGAAAACTCACTATATATCAATGGCCATTTTCAATAGCAAACTTTGTTGGTTTTACCAGAGGGTAAAATAGCTGATTCTTGACCTGATGAATTTCATTGCCATGAAACCAGATGTTTTCTGCTGTTGTTTTTTGCTGTCAGGCAACGAGTTTGTGGAGGGTGTGCTTCGCTCACGGGGCTATGCGCAGAATAAGGTGGGCTTCGCGCTTCGCTCACTGGATCCAACCTGAGGTTACCCATGAAACGTCGCGACGTTGAACCATCAACAATGCAGATTTGAACTGATTTACCCTCTGGTAAATTAACATGTCGACCCTGGCAGTCATCGGGGTTGGAAGATTAGTTTCCATTAAAACTAAGCTATTTTCAGGGTCGAACTGTTAATTTACCAGAGGGTAGCCCATGAACAACGGATCATTTTCTGGGAGTGTGACAACTTGTGGCGTTTTTTTTTTTTTTTCAGCGCAGTTTTACTGTCATGTTGATAAGGGGCATGATGATTGGCACCATAGGATTCGGGGTTTTTGTAAAAATCCCTATGGAGATGGACCATCCATCTGACCGGTGGATTTTAAGCGTGGGATCATTGAAATGGAGAAAACCTGACCAGGTTGACCACTAACTTACAAACGCACTACGAAAAATGATAACATGAATTGAAATTCCCAGTTGGTTTGGTTAAATTCAATTGCTACTTGCAACACCTTTGTTCCATGGCTAAAGTCAGGTGCTTCAGTCCCCCATTTTCAGATGGCAGGACTTGGTGGGTCTCCGTTGCGATGTCTGGCGAGCCAACTTGAGCGACGCTTGGTGACGAACTGCTGCTGTACATTAGTTCCCCATTTTTGAGCCAGGTCCATCATATGATTGCTGCTGTTGCTGTTGCTGTTCTGTTGCTGCTGTTGTTGTTGTTGCTGCTGTTGGCGTTGCTGTTCTGTTGCTGCTGTTGTTGTTGTTGTTGCTGTTGTTGCTTTGCTTTTGTTGCTGTTGTTGTTGCTGATGCTGTTGCTGTTGATGTCTTTTTTTTGGTTTTAACACAGTACATGTTTATGAGTACTATATATATATACACGTATATATATATATAATTATATTATACATACATTGATTCAATCAGATTGCATATCATGTCCTGATTAGCGTCAAACCAGTTCAGATTCTCCTGGATTTTTCAGGCGTTTATGAGTCATAAAACAGCACAATCATCAACCATTACCTCTTGGTCTGTATCTGGGTTAGCCAGCACTACAATACCCATGGTGAAACCGCCACCAGTGATCCAACGCGGCTGGTTACCAAGGGTTCCCATTCCATGGCTATCCATTACTCTACCAAGCATCAGTAACTGGTTGTTAAAGCTATATGTATAGATATTATGATGTATATATATATATACACAGTGTGTGTATGTATATATATATATATACATGTATACATTGTATACAACCCATTATACAATCCAATTGGGGATATTCCATCTGAAGATAGACACCATGTGGGCAGCGTTCAAAACCCTGTGGGCAGTCCCGAAAAAACAGACTGGTTGGTTGAGAGCGGGATTCCCCAATCTATATCAATACATTGGTTAGTGTATAATCCCCGAACTGATGACCAACCATCATTTATCATAAGCTACCCACTAAAGGGTATCTTTAGGTAAGGTTGCAAAAGCAAACACGAGGGCTTTGGCATGCTTTGGCATGGTTTAGCCATATTCAAAACAGCGAATCTGTTGGGTTTCAATCTCTGCCGGGAACTGGTGACACGTAAATGCACGCCCCGAAAAACCGGAACAGTCCTGGAACCTTGCTGAAACCTTTCGCTGTTGGGGTGCAAAGCTGGCCCATCTTTTGATGGTCAAAATCCCGATGAAATGACGATAATTATCAACCAATCATCATTTACCAAATATATCCACATCGTTTTGATGCTTAAAACCTCTAGACATGATGATTAGTCACATCAAGCCACAAAAATCATGAACCAAACGAGGTCCAAGATGAGATACGCCTGGTGAGTCTCTACTTCGAGGAACGTCGTTCCGTAAGTGGAGGTGGTAACTCAGCACCAGCCACATCTGGGGATTTAAGCAGCAAACATCGGACGATGGGGGATCCAACGCTTGGGAAAATCGACTTGTGATGGGGACTTTCGCATTGGATGAGGATAAAAAAACAAGGCGAGGGGAATTTTTTAACCAAGGCACATCTCCAAAAAAACGCCAGTTTTTTCGGACGATTTCCGATGCTCAACTTTTTGACGTGTTGGGATTGATGTTGATCTAATGTTTGGGGTGCTGAAGCCTCCATGTTTTCGGAGTAGAAGATCCTATGAATTCCACGTCCACAATGGTTCATATAGGTTCATTAGATCCTATGAAATCCATGGTTTTTTTTTGGCAATTCCATGGTTTTTTTTGGCAATTCCAGTGAAGCCCTACTTTTTCCAGGACCCATCCAAAGGCATCAACGGTAGTTTCAACGGCCTCTTCGGCATAGCCTCGGTGAGGAGCGACTCCTCGAGACGAAAGAGAAGATCCAGAATCTCAAAGAGGCGCTGGATGGAGACCTCGATGGGCTGATCTGAGTTTTCATCCATGGAAATTTAGAAGGACAGCAATTTAGTATAGAATATACATAGGTAGATGATCATAAACTCCAGTAACTATGGTTTATGGTAGATATATAAATATGGAGGTTTCCTAAAATGGTGGTACCAGAAAAATCCAAGTCATGGATGACCACTTTACTATTGAAAAGCATGATAACTTGGGGATCCACCATTGGTCAAGGAATGGGGATGTGTCACCTAGATTCTTGGGTAGTTCTTCATGATAAGCACAATAGCATGACAATTGTTCTAACAAAGACCGCAAGTGCATGGGTAAGTTTCTTCTGCCATATCCACATGTTCATAGACATAATAAATCATGATAATATCTCTCCGTATGTCTGTGCGTATTTATGATATACTCTGTGTGTATATATGTATATATGCAAAGTGTATGTATAATTGTACCCATCCTAACAGCTGTAACAGTCAAAACATGGATTTCTTTATGTATTTGGGCAAGTTTTTTTTTGACTGTTTTCCTTCGTGCAAAAAATCATGCTTGTTGGTGCTCTCCTTCGTGCAAAAGATCGTGGTCTAGATCGTGCTCACTGTTACAGCTATTAGGCTAGTGCCAATAATATGTATATGTATCTGTACATGTAAATGTATATGTACATGTAAATGTATATGTATAAAAATATATAGAACGATATAAAACATAGAATTTGTGTATAGCTGATATTTTTGGCCACTCCCCAGAACCCCTCACTGTGGTGCGGTAGGTGGCTGGTCCGGTCTTGCATCGTGCCGCCGAGGAGGGTGGGGTTTTACATAGCAAAAATGGTGATTTACCCAGCAAAAGTGGGGATTTCACGTGCAAAACATGGGGTTTTGCCATGTTTTACCTAATAACAATGGTGATTTAAGGAGGAGAAATGGTGGCTTTTGAAAAGAAAACCGAGATGGAACCCCAACAGAATGGCTAGTTTGGTGGAACTTGGCCCTGGAAAAGTTGCCTACTGGCAAATGAGCCATGTCCATTTCATGGCGGATGCATATGGCATACATAGAGTATTGTAGAGTTCTACAGCTATACTGGTTGAATAGAGATGAGTAGAGTTAACTAACCATCCAGTACGGGATCCACCAGTTGATTAAGTAGTATATAATATTAATTCTCGTAAATCCAATATCCGAACATCATCAACAGACCAGAAATCAGGGGGGGGGCAGTGTTGTTTTGGCGCGTGGCAGGTGACAACTTATTTTTTGTACCTTTCACTGTGCTTCCAGTCATCTCTACTTCAAGCAATCGGTCCAGATGAATAACATGTTGGTATCCGGAAAGAATTCGAGGAAGCGCACAACATCACAACATGTTCAGACTGGAACCATGAAATATGGGATTGGACATGTAAAAACTGGCTCAGGAACGGTAAACAAAGAGAGATGGAACCATGAAAACGCGGCTGCAGCTGTGACAATGTGATCAGACATATGAGTGGTGTTTTACCTCTGCTAGTTACCTGAAAGAAAGTTATCCATGAAGCACAGGGTTTGTTAACCCCGGCACACCGGACTTTTTTAAGATCATTCAATGGTGGTTAGGATCATCCTTTACAAAAGACATTTTAGTGGCGTAATTTCGTTGCTCAATTCAGTTGTTGTATCCCCAAAAATGGTTCATGTCATTTCTGGTATACCCTCTGGTAAACATACAAAAAACGAACTGGAAAGATCCACCATGCTATTTAGCTGGGTAAATCCACGATTTCGACTGGGCCATGTTCCAGTTCGCTTTTTGTAGGTGTACCAGGCCGGGTAGGTTTACTACGTCGGTTCCTGTACCCATCGGATCCTGACACCCTGACACCGAAAAAATCCTGGCAGGAAATGCGCAAGAAACCGGTCCCTTGAGCTGACAGTCTGACAGTCTGACAGTCTGTCCCATATGGGAATGGGTCAAAACCATGTAGCCCTGGTGAACATCAAAATAGGTGGCAAATGGATGTTCATCCCGTAATAAACTGTATCTATAGGTATTGATCCATAGCCATATTGATTCCTAAGATTCCTAAGGGAACAACTACAGGAACCATCGGGTTACTTTGCAAAGAAAGGTTAAACGCCATTTTAGATCCATCCTCAATCCTCAACTATTGATTTTTACCACACAACAAATAGAACAAATCTGGTTGGTGGTTTGGAACATGAATTTTATTTTCCATTTCATGTATGGAATGTCATCATCCCAACTGTTACTCACTCCATCATTTTTCAGAGGGGTAGGCTCAACCACACCATGGCGAGTTCACCCCCACTTGGGAGACTTCAACCCCAGAAGGATGGTGAGTACCACTTAGAACTGGAACTCCCCCAAGTGATGGATCAATTTTGCTGTCTACCAGGCAAGATGATGCTGGATGCCGGATGGTGCTAGAAGATTAGATGGTCAATGATACATGCGGCTTATGCTTGTGACCACTTTCTAGACAACAACAAGGGCGGATGGCTCCTACTTGGAGAATCAGTGTAGACAAGCCTGCAGCCGAAGCACATGAGGTAGTTGATGGATTTTAAGTTGAGCAGTGCTCAAAATGCCAATAGATCATACAAGGGGGCTATCATTGATGTCCTTTTCCCATTGGTTGGTTGATGAAAATAGAGGGGTTTGAAGAAACCCCTGAAAAACAACAGGTAAATGATGATAGATGGGATTAACCAGCTCCCGGCCCCCTATTTTTACCAAAAGGACATTATTGGGGGTTATACAGCTTGCTTGGATCGGAATGATTGTGATCCATTCTCAAAGCCGCCTGCTTGGACGGCCACTTTTTTCACGGAATGATACGCATCAACATGGGCGGTGCACAGGTGTTTGGAGGGGTGATGGCTGCAGTCCAAATCCAGTCGTTTTTGATGTGGTAACCAACAAAAGATCAAAGTGGCTTGGTTTGTGCAAACCATTTCTGAAAAAAATAGATCATTTGAACTGTTGATAACATTGATGTTTGTTATTGATGTTTGCTATTGATTTTACTGTACATCAAACTTTTATGTGTTTTTCCACACTTCTTTTGCGGAGCATCACATCCTGGCTCCAGAATCCCGTGATCCCAGTGGAAAATCATCTATAAATGGTGGATAAATAACTAGGGATGGTAAGTTCCCAGCCATAAACCTCCATTTATAGTTAATGATGGATAGATAACATAATCTATAAGTGATTTTGAATTGCCACGTTAAAAAAAGAACCGGATGGTAAGTAAGCCATAAATAACTAATTAATTAGGGATGTTAGATACAGAACAAGGCTGTAAGATGGTTATTACTCGCTTACTGGGTAAATGGCCCAGTTGTTGGAGGATGGTCATGAGTCCATTCTGTTAGGATTCCCATTATGCGATGGATGGTCATCTATCCAATATTGAGAATCAGTGTAATGCGTGTATAGATGCTTATACATGGATTGGAGACCAACCGTTTTTGAATACAGACCATGTTTTGACCATGGCACATATAACTATATACAATGTGGTCTCCCCAACTTGATGTTTGTTGGTTTACAAATCCCATTATCTGTATGGACATTACCATAAACATTTGCATAAACATCACCCTAGGCCCTGGTGGTGCCCCTAGTAATAGGTTCTTGTTGATTTTTATGTTGATTGACCCACCAAACAAGTAGCTGCAGTCACCAAACACCAAAAGATCCCAAAGGTTACCCGGCCTGGTAAACCTACAAAAAGCGAACTGGAACATGGCCCAGTCGAAATCGTGGATTTATCCATTAATAGCATGGTGGAAAAGATCCAGTTCGTTTTTTTGGGACTGTTTACCAGAGGGTATCTCCGGTTATATCATGTTATATCCCGAAAAAATAGAATCTATAGATCATGGGGGTTTATGAATGTTTATATATGGGTTCTAAACCAGCTGCATTGGGCCTACCCGGGTAGCTGAGGACCTCAAGAAGGGTCGCATCAGCCACGGCCATGCCGTCATCATTGGTGCGGAGGTATCCACCGATGATCACGATGAGAGCCTTGTAACGTGGCGCAACTTACTCCCCGGACCAAGGTCTAGGGGGGATACAATGGGATTTAATTCTGATTTTAATGGGATTTCATGGGATTTATCGGAATCATATGGGAGTTTTCAAGAGCATCGAATGGTGATTCAACGGGATAAAAAATGGGTATAGACGGTATAGACCCAAGAAACATATTGTTTTTTGCAGTGTTCTTGTGAGCCCTGTTGGTTGATGATTGCAGGGGGATAATGATCGCGAAGGACTAATAAATATAGGCTTTTGAACACTGCTCATACGGGAAACATGGGCTTATATACCGGAATACTTCGTTTCCTGAAAACGGCAAGTTATGCCATGAACTTGGGAAATGATGCGCATAACAATTTGCCATGTTGGGGCAAGCGATGTTCAGACAAAAGCGGATCAGTCAAACAGCATGGAGGTGAAAGTTTTGCACCGCGGCCATGGTAAATACCCTCTGCTTATTTAACATAGCCATGGAAAATGGCCCATTTATAGTTGGTTTACCTATTAAAAATGGTGATTTTCCATGGCAAAATGTTAGTCATAACCAGATGGTACCTCATTTTCACCATGAATTGTTGGCGGTGTAAATTTACCTCATTTCTAGACAACCCCAATCTCAGATGACTGGGCATGTGGATGGTCATTTTCAGTATACCCTCTGGTAATTTAACAGTTAGCTATTGATAATGGCCATTTATAGTGGATTTACCCAGTAAAAATGGTGATTTTCCATAGTTATGTTAGTTTACCAGAGGGTATATGGCTAGAGCTCAATTTCGGCGTCCCGAAATTGAATGGTTCAGTACCAGACATATCATGATGAATTTTCCGTTGAAAGGTTCGATCTGTCAAGCTGCAGATTTCCTGTCAAGGGCTCTCTATCCAGTTGGGATGATCTCCGAACATGCCTGAAGTTAAGATCGCCAGTCAGTTGAGTCTAATGCACATAGACTTTAACCATCTTTAAGTCTAGAATCATTAAATCTCAGGAGGCCTGAAGTCAGTACATGGCTTCGGAAATGGGGTGTATCATGATATGCTCCACTCACTCCACTCATGATATGCGTAGGCTACGTGTCGCATCGTCGCAGTGGTGGATGATCCCAATATTGGGTCACTGTTTCAATGGCAATTTCTACCGAAAAACATGGAGGCCGTCTTGGCGCATCTATTTTGGCCTATGGTCCAGGGCTACCCCCGGAAACTATGGCCTCATATGGTACAGTAGCTCCATTTTAGGGTACTGAAATTGCTGTATTGACCATGCGATGAAATGTGATGAACCGGGAAATGCTGTCAATATTAAAGTATATTGCCTGAAACATCTCATAATAATGGTTTATTTCATGGAAAATCCTATCTATAAATAGATGATTTAGGGGTACCCCTATTTTAGGAACCCCCCATATCATTTCTCGATCATTTCTGAAGGGTATCCGTTTGATTCTTCGATCCCGCCCAGATATCGATGGGTGCACGGCCTTCTGAAAGCTCAAGAGGTCTCCACAGAAGCTTGGCGCTACACTGTGCGACCCACCCCCAAAAAATCGGTCAATTGAGTTGTCAATGCTCAGATGGGCCATGGAGTTAGTTAACTAATTAGGAAATGAATGTAAATGGATTATACCTGCTGGTAGGTGGTTTCAAACCATGGAATTTTATTTTCCATTTCATAAAAAAAGGATGTCATCCGGAACCCATTGACTTTCACTCCATCATTTTTCAAGATGGTGAAATTGCACCACCAACCAGCTTGGGATTTTTGATGCGTTATAACCGCTATAACCCAGTTAGCAACCACGAATCGCTCATCTTTTTCCGCCCATCGAAGTCGGCGGGCCGATCCCATGGGGTGTTGGTGACTGAAATTCTGGGCCGATCTCGCCTACTCGCCACGTTTTTTTTTTTTTGGGGGGGGTCCCAAATGGAAAGCCGGAAAGCCATGATGGGTTTTTTATGGATCGGGTAGGAGTTCATGGATTTCCCCAGATGTCAGACTCCACCATGTCTGGGTGTAAAGCTTGGTGCTTCATGTCTGGTTTGTGGGTGGCTTAGTTCACACCAGATATAAATGGACTAACCATACGAACACCCTACCTGTAACTGGGGTTATAAGTCACTTAGTAAGTGGGATGAGCCACCAAGTAGGAATGGTATCAATAGCTGTGACCTATGGATGTTTATTACCACGGAATTGAGAATACCCTCTGGTAATTTAACATAACTATGGAAAACCACCATTTTTCATGGGTAAATCCACTATAAATGGTCATTTTCAATAGCTATGTTAAATTACCAGAGGGTATGTCCATGAGAGTGTAGAAAGTTGCTAACAACATGGATCTGGTGCCCTACTTTCTGGACACTTTGCGAACCATGTGTATTCTCCGGGGGACAAAGCCTACTTCCCCTCCGGTAAGTCAACATAGCTATGCAGCATGATGACCCGTTTAGTTCGACGATTCACCCATTTTTTTCTCGTCCTGATCTTCCATAGCAAAGTGTAAGAAATTGCGAGAGGATATCCCCCATTCAGCTTTTACTTCATAAATGGCTGCACAAATATCATCATCTTCACACATCATGTAAGAACCGATGACGATTTATCATCCCATCATATCCAATGGGATTGGTACATATCTGGTTGGTGCTTTGGAACATGAATTTTATTTCTCCATATATTGGGAATGTCATCATCCCAACTGACGAACTCATATTTTTCAGAGGGGTGGGTCAACCACCAACCAGATATACACATATCCCATGATATCCTCTTGTGATCCATTATAAATTTCATCCCGAAAATTCATATTCAACATCCCCGTTCTATGGTCACAAAATGTCTCAAATCAGTGGTTTCATCCCCTGATAAACCATGTTTTTTGGATGTTCAATATTAGGGGGAATGGATTATCACAGTTATGTTCCACATATATAATGTAGTATATAATATAGTCTATATATAATGTGGTATATGTATGATTATATATATATATATGATATACAGTAGTGTATATATAATAAATATTACTGTTTGAATTTTAATATAGTACATATATAACCATTAATACCCTCTGGGTAAACATACAAAAAACGATGGAAAGATCCACCATGCTATGTAGCTGGGTAAATCCACATAGATCTCCCATCGTTCGGTGAGCCGAAACATCGCTGAGGTGCTCCGTTGTCTCTCTACGGGCCACCGGGTCTTGGCTAAGCTGAATTCAGAAGGATAATTCTATATACACATTGCATACATAACATATGCGTAATGTCTATATTAATACACATGTATATATGTATATGTATATGTGTATGTGTACGTATATGTATATGTATGTATATATATATATATGTATGATACATAGAATTTCGATAATTCTGATGTGCAGAAAATTGACTGAGCCGCAACCAGTTGGTCCTTGTTCATGGGTTATTATTGAGGATGATCATTCAAGCACTTGCAAGGTGGTGCCCCTACTTCGTAACAGGCGGCTACGATTGAATGAACGTGTATATTATATATATATGTATGTATACATATATATATATATGTATATATGTATATATGTATATATGTATATGTATATATGTATATATGTATATGTATATATATATATGTATATATATGTATATATATATCGAACTAGTTAGATGGGTTTATACACGTTTGCAAAACCAACATACAAAACTGCGCAGTGCTCTTATACACCCCTGTTGGTTGATTAGCCACGGCCCGGGTGTGAACCGTGCAATCTGTGAATCGCGCGGGCGGGCTGAATCGCGTTTTTCCAAACTGCAGGGGATGGACAAAACTGGTTGTTTAATTGACACTTTAACCATCTTAACATCTTCCACCATTTAACATTGCTGGCAAACTTCACATTGCTATCCACTAACATAGCTATAGAAAATCACCATTTTGAATAGGTAAATCCATTATAAATGGGGTATGTTCAATAGCAAACTGTTAGTCATTACCAGAGGATAAATCCCATTACATCCCATTAAATCACCATAAATCCATTGAAATCGCCATTAAAATCCCATTAAATCACCATAAAATCCCATTACCAGAGGGTAACATTGCTTGCATTTCTGGCAACCCAGCGAAACACTGGGATTTGGATTCACCATGGACGCTGGAAACACCGGGATCAATTTCAACCGGGCCGATCGCTCTGGCGATCATGCTGATCTGGTAAATGATGTAAATGGGGACATGTAAAACCACCAAGTGTGAAACTTAAGCAAAATATATGACGTTTCCTTAAGTTTTTTTTTTTTTAATATTTCACATATATTAATACTTATAGTCTGTATAGATATATAACCAATGCATGAAGACCAACACGATAACGACCAATAGTGAGGAGAAGCACCAATCAATGAGAATTTGTCCAACAATGCATGGGCATAAAACCAATAGATGAATGGTGAAATAATCATCAATAACCAAGATGCTCCATGGTGCTGGTATATTTACCTACAAAACTGGGTGATTTTTAGGGCACATGCTGGTAAATATTCCAGCACCATGGAGCATCTGGGTAATTAATATGGTAATGCCCCATATAAAATCAAACCCATTTTTGGGATGTGCTTTAAAAGCCAAAAAAGGAGAACAAATGGCAAACTGCGGATGGTTTAAGACAACCCCAACTAGTGTTAACATGGGTTTGAGACCACAGCCAGTGATGCAACGCCACTTTGATGCCGCTTCTCAGGGTCGTTTGTCGGTTGATGAAATTTCCGTTCGATGCCGATTTCTACTTGGTGATGTCCGTCACATCCGAATGCGTACTGTTTCAATCATTATGGTTCATTATATATATACATATAATTATATTATATACTAGGTCAATCTTAGATGGGTACTTTAATCCTTTAGTCTTTTGGTATCAATGGGAATATCTACCAATCTAAGATTGGCAATGTATAATGTACATGATCTGATATGTGTATGGGCCCAAACCAATGATACCATCTGAATCACGCTTTCCATCCCGGTTTTTCTACCTGCTCCTTGGATGTTTGTTGTTTTAGGGCTTACCAGGGTGACCTGACATATACCGAGAAAACCCGAATAGTGTTAACTTCGCATTTTGCAAACTCCCCCAGTTATAGATAATTGGTTGGGTGACCAATTTCATGCTATTAATGCATCATTTGGGACTAGTTCCCCCAGTCGGCTTTTCCCGGCTTCACATCCCCGTCCAGTTTAACTGCGCATGGCCTGGAAAAGTGACCCGGCCAAGCCGGGGCGTGCGGGGCGCTGGAAAATCCATTGATGGGTTGATCTTGAGTCATAAATTGAGTGTACTTAGATCTGCCATGGAGTTAGTTAAATGGATTATACTTGGGAGTTATAATAACCCAGTCACCAACCACTTAGCTAATCCCATGGCCCATCTAAGTAGTCTCGCACTTTAAAGATATTGCTCTTCAATTGGGCAAGACTAGCTGGGAACATTATGTGGATAGAACATGATAGAACCAGCAAAAAAACAAGTTCTTTGCCTGTCACAATTCGTGGTGTTTTTCTTTGTCATATGCTTTTATCTAAAGTGTTTATTCTTTCAACCATGAATTATCTATCAGCATACCTATATTATACATGCATATTTATATCTATTGGCAGTTTTATCTATACTTATACATATTTGTATATACACAGATTATATACTCATATACTACACATTTTCCTGCGCTGGCCAAGCAAAATGCAAATTTGCTCATCATGTTAATCTGCGGGATGTTTGAAGTTATTTTGGAGCTTCAAAACACGATATACTTTCTTTGGATCAGCTTCACACGCATGTTTCCAAGTGGTCCAAAACCTCTGGAAGAGTTGTTCCTCTGGGTTCGCCCATTGAAACACTTCGAGCGGCTTCAAGGAACTTGGAACGAACACTTTAAGCTGATCCACCAACGATAGATTGAATGCCCCCCCCAACCTCCGGTAATGAAACGTGGCAATTTTTCACATCCACCGTATTTCGTTCGAGGATTTCCCGTCGCGGCCACGGAAATGAGGACACCATCCCGAAAGGTCCGTCTGTGCGGCGAAGCCGCACAGAGATGGTGGTTCAAAGGATGGTTACTTCGGCTGAAGCAAGGCCTTCTAAGCTCACATGGCTATGGATGGCCCATGACAGATTCCATGATTTACTTTACAAATTAAAGAAATATTATTCTTTACCAGAGGGCATACGGAATCAAGAAAAATGGGATCGACTCAGGAAACATTGGGGTTTAACTGGAAAAACCGTGGCTTTCATGGGCAAAAACTGTGATGTTACCAGCCAAACACATCGCTTTCCCACTGTAAGTACCGTGAGATAGACCCCATTTCTGGACAAAGCCGCTTCTTGTCTCTTGCCACACATTTGACTTCATGAATAGATTGCCAGTTCTTTTTGGGGGCCTAGCATTACATACGAGGGAGAGGACATCCCCAATGTCTTGGGTTTTTTAATATATATATATATACATACTGTATATTATATATATACATACTGTATATAAATGTATATACATACTGTATATATGTACATATATATATAGGTTCATGTCACCATCGGGCGGAGACGGGTCAAAACATGTCAAAACCCATCTCCCCAATCTCCATCAAGATGAGGATGTCATTCTATGTATATATATATATATGTATATTGATAAGTTTATATGGAACTGCATATAGAGAATGTTTATATTGATGAATATTGATAGATATGTAATAGATGATACAGTATTTTTTGCGGATACACGATTTCAGAATGAAGGCATGGAAAATCCAATCAGCCCGTGTGGCTCCAAAGCCAAAAGCTTCACGTAAATGAACCACAGCGCTGAAGTTTGGCACCGCGTTGAAGAGATCAGAGTGAAGAGATCCGTTCAATGTGGACCACCGGTAGAGAAATGTGGATTTTTAGTGGGATTTCATCTGATTTCATGCGATTTTTAGTGGGTCAAAGCTGGATACATCTGACAAGTCGGATGCTTCAAGGTGATTTTTTTATCCTCCAGATGCCAGTTGTTTTGGAACGTACTTCCCGATGTGAATCGGTGACCAAAAACCATCAAACATGGGGATTTTTTTTGGGGTTTGACCACGCCCTTGTTGGGGTTGTACGAGTTCACCCGTGGACATTTTTTTGGATCAAAGACCGTCACTTTTTCAGACATCCGATCGGTGGAGCCTGGAGGCTATTGGTAAATTGACATCAAAAAAAAAAGAGATATCATTTCCATGGTAAATAAATGAGGCTAAGATACCTATGATTTTCAAGGTAAATCATCGAACCCATAAAATGGTTAGCTCGGCCAGCTCTCGCCAGAATCTTCATCAATCATTGGGTCACCGGTTGGTGTTTTATTTACCACAAAAAGCTTGGGTTTTCCTACACATTTCCCCTGAAATCAATCCATTTAGCAATTTTCGAAATATTTTCTGGATAAAATGCGTCATTGGAATATTTGTGACTGCGGGAATTGACATAATTATCTCCAAATGGCCATATGATAACAGCTATTTTTTTTGGGTGAATTGATACACCGGTGTATCTTACCGTTGTGCGGATCGTGGAGGAATTGCTCGCAAAAAGCCGAGGGCAGGGTGGAGCGAAGAAATAGGTCAATCACCCCAGGTGTTTCGGAAAATCATAGGGGTAGCCGCGGATCTTTTTTGGAACTTGGACTGTTTATGTATTGAGACCCTTGGTTCAGGCTAGGGTATACCAAATTCAAACACATGGCTAGGAAAAAGGGGTGAAAAAGGGTGGATGAATCCAATGGTTTGTGAAAACAGAATTTCTTTAAGAATACTGGTTTATATGGATGATTATGGGATACAATGGATGAATTAAACCATTATCAATTGATGAATTAATATGGATGAAAACAATCTGGTTTATCAATATGGGATACACAATGTGTTCATCTGAGCAAACGACCAGGCTTTGGGGAACCTCTACGAGTACTTCTTGAAGCGCAATGGAAAGAGGCAATTTTCTGGGCACTGGAAAGTAGGTAACTATCCCAATCTATGGCTGAACTTTCAGGTACCCTCTGGTTATTTAACATAGCCATGGAAAATGACCCATAGAAATAGATGGTTTACCTATTACAAGGCTATGTTAAATAACCAGATGGTAAGTGAATCATTTCATTTTATCACAGGTGATTTTTCGATGGCATTTGAAAGGTATATCAAAGGC